AAAGATATGATGGTAACTAGATTATATGAAAAGTGGTAGGTGGATTATATGGTGGTAATTAAAATTATATGATGGTGGTAACTAGATTATATAAAGTGGTAGTTAAATTATAGTAAAAGTGGTAGGTGGATTATATGATGGTAATTAAGTTATATGATGGTGGTAATTAGATTATATAAAGTGGTAGTATTTTAGATTATATGGTGGGAGTGAGCCAGAATTGGGGTTTTCATACTACTTCAGATGGAATTTAGTCATTTAATTAGTTTCTAATTTAACATTGTTTGACTAGTTATATTATATATACCCTTTTATGTATAGTACCCTTTTAGTATTCTTTTAATACGAGTTAAGTCAAGTTGAGTTTTGAATCAATTTTTTATATAATAAAATTTGTTTTATGCTAATTTTTATAATACACATGCCAATCAAAATTATCCAGCCACTTTGTTTTACCAAAATTATGCAGATCATCACGTGCTAATGTGACAAAAATATTATATGATTTTATATTTATAATTACAATAAACAAATTTCTATGCTTCACATTTTTCATATTTTTCAAAAATTTTTCAGAAATATAAACCATTTACTGAGTAAATTTATGATTTACGTGATGATAAATTAAAAGATTTAAAAAATCCTGTAACTTTGTCAATATTAATCTAATAAACACATATTTACCACCATTTGAATCGCCTCGATGAGATGAATCCAATAAGCTAAAAATCATGGTAAATGATCACTGGATCAAAACTTATTATAAAATTTATTTAAATCTTTAAAGTGCAATTACATATCAAATATCGATTCTACAAGAATGTAATTATTACCATTCGAATCCACTTAATAAGACGAATCTAACAAATCTTAATTCATGAAGATCCAATCACTGAGTAACGAAATATTCTTGATATACGATTTTTAAATTTTAATCTATAATCTTACATAAACATATTATTATGTAAGTTTATGAAAATTTGCGTAAATAGTCATAGGTCAAGCCATAATCTTATATAATATTATTTCATAATGGATAATACTTAACCTTATTAAATTTTCTGATAAAAATACTTGAAAAGCATGTTAAGAACGTATGGATAGATATATCTCCAGAATATTATTGATAGCATACTTTATAGAATTGAAGAAGCTATTGCCACCAATGAAAATAGAATTCATTATTAAATTTTTATTTAAATTAACAAACAATGGCACAATGAATATATATAACTTTAAATTTTAAATTTCACAATATTATGCATATGTAAGTTTATCACTTTAAAAAAGTGGCCAGATAATTTTGATCGGCATGTGTACTTTAACTATATTATTTATGTAATGTGAGTCTATACGAATCATTTTAAGTTACATATGCAAGATACTAACTCCTCTTGAAAAATTTTATAAAATTGTATAATACCTGAGGGATATTTTACAATTATCTTATGATCAAATAGTCAGATTTAATCCATTTTTTTTTGTTTAATAGTTCTCATTAAGCTTTTCAAAATAAAAAAAAATTGTTCAAATTGGATTAGTAAATTATGAGATATTCGTAAAAAACAGAATTTTTAAGTTTTATTTAGTACCTAAGGATACAGGATTAAATCCCTGATTTTTGCAAAATATCCAGGATACTGTAATCTATTATATATAATAATATATGATAAAAATAACTAAATATAATAATCCAATTTATAATGCAGATTTTTTATTAATAATATATTTAATAAATAATTTTGTAAAATAAATACAGTCATTTTTTTCTATAGTCATACCCTATATAAGCACACCTTTTTTTAAGTCATATCACTTTTATGTACTGATTTTTTACATAGTGAAATACCCCTTATATAGTCACAAATTGATTATAGTTACTATTATAACAATCGTTAATTCTGATATATCGTATTTTTCTAAAATTAGTCACCCCCCGAAATTAAGCACTCCCAAACTTTGCATAACTTCATGCACAAACTGAAAATAAGCACTCCTGAAAATTAGCATCTCCGAAAATAAGCACCTATAATTTATTTATTAGAGTAATATTTACAAATAAAGCAAATAAAGCAAAATAATTAATTTTCATCTTCATTTATATTAATTATTTCTAATTCTTCCTTCTCATTTTCATCTTGAATTTCTCTAATAATTTCATCAATATCTTCATAAATAACATCATCTTCAGATCCATCTAACTCATTTGATATATCACATTTTTTAAAAGAGCAGATTATAATTTCCTCTAAAAGATTCTTCCACAAACATTTTACCCATCCACACATATCACTTATTGTAGCACATCAAAGATTTCCTGCATTATTAAACTTAGCACCGCCATTACTCATCTATTGATGCCATTCTTGATGAAGATGATCCTTAAAAGGTTTATTAATCGCAACATCAAGTGGCTGGCAAATACTTGTCAGACCACCTGGGATTACAGCTAAATTAACATTATTTTCTTTAAATTTTTCTTTTATTGAATCCTCTAAATGCCCTCTAAAAGAGTCATAAACCATCATTGATAAAAATCTGGATTGGTTATTTAACATTCTTATACAATTAAAATAATCAATATAACGTTTCATTAAGTTTACATTCATCCAGCCATTTTCTTGAAATAAAACAACCACACCAGAAGGTACTTTTTCTCCACGTGGCATTTGTTTTTCTTTGAAAATGCAAATTGGTGACAGTTTGGTTCCATCTATAATTAAAAAAATTAACATTTTACTTTTTTTTAATATTATTAAAACCATCATCAAAGTTTCTTATCTGCAGTACATGTTAATACAATAGTAAACCGATTTTTTTCATTTCCTGTCCTGCAAACATGAACTGTTTTTTCCTCTTTTGGATTAATAGTAATATTTTCAGCTATATCAAACCAAACGGAAGTTTTATCTATATTAAAAATATTACATAATTTAATAGAATTCTTTATCCTAATATGAATGACAAACCGATGCAAATTTGCCAATAATTCTGTTGTTTGCTCTGGAAGTTTTTGAGATATTCTTGTATGTCACCGTAAAGCTAAATTTGTATCTTTTCATAAATCCAGTTAACCAGCGAAATGTTGCAATAAAATCAAGTTGATCACCATAAAGTGCTACCATATCTGGCTTTTTCAAAATTTCAAACATTGTAAGTCATATGGTTACAAAAGTTACAGCTAATGCCTTTTTTCTTTGTTCTAAAACCCAAGTATACAACTCCTCTTCAGCTTCTGGATAGAAAGCTTTTCAGCCAGAACTAACCCGTTTACTATCACTATTTGTTTCATTTGACCAATTTTACTTGCCTTAATAACCTAACGTCTAACCATAGTAGTATCAAATTCAAAATGTTTAGCTGCCGAATTTCTTCTATGTTGAAGGGTGTAGATAACAACAACTCTCTTTTGTTCAACAAAATAAGAAGCATGTTGACGTTTAACAACTTTTGCCATTGTCAAAATAGGTGAAAATAAGTTCTTCAAAAGCACGTTAAATTGCGTAGCTGTTAAAAAACCCCTTAATTAAAGTTATGCAAAAAAATTTCAGGTGATTTTTTTTGTGAAACAGCATTTTGAAATGAAAAAAATTAATTTAATTTTAAAAATGATTTTTAGCAAATTTAAAAAAAGTGTCAAAATTAAATACTCCCCAAACTTTTTGATCAAAATCCTTGCAAAAAGAGGGTGACTAATTTTGGAAAAATATGGTAATAGTTAACATATGGAAAATTCTTCACTTATAGTCATATTATTACATGATTAAAAATATATTTGAAAAATATATAACGCATTCTGAAGATAATTATTTTATCAGTTTCATAGTATAATTTTATAAAAGATTTACTTGATATACAGTTAAAATAGATATAAAAGGAGTGGTAACTTTATGCATTTTTCATGTATGCATTTGTCAATTTGTGTAAGTTAAAAAATTGTATAAGCTTAAATTCGGTAAAGTGGAAGGTAGGAAAAATCAAAATTATTTCTTTTTATTTTTATAATATAATTTCTATATCTGATAATAAAGTTGGCATTTATTTTATTTATAATAAAAAATTATATATAATTACATCAAATTGAAACTTTGCATAGATATGAGTTATATGACTGTATAGTATCCAAAAAAAAGTAATCAGTTAGCAGTAAATTATGATAATCATTATGAAAATATATTTCTATGTAAAGTTTTTTTTTTAATAATTAACATGTTTTTTTACAATAAGTAAAGTTGATCATTGAATTGAATTGCATTTACTCTAAAAATTTCATGAACTTCTGAAAAAAATTGATTACTATATTTTATGGGTTATTAAATAAATCAGATTTTTAATGAAAAGTATTTAGTAGGTATAATATAACATTAAAAAATTTTGTTTTATTAAGTTTCATTTTTAAATAAAATTATTTATCAAAGTTTGTAACATATTACTACAAAGTATCATCAAAATAAACAAAACAGTTTATAAATTACACATATTTAATAATGATAATCGTATCTATTAGTTATTTATAAAATTTTAATTAAAGATCAAATTATTGATCTTTGAATTCTCATTACAATAAAAAAAGCTAGAAATAATAATCAATATCCCAAGTTTTCATAAAAAAAAATTGGCCCAAATTTAATGCGTCAATAATATTTAATTTCAGTAATTAATTTGATGATAATCGATAAATGATTGGCAAATTACAGTAAAATGAATATAACTTGTTGATTTTCTCATTGATTTTAATGAAACTTCTTAAAAATATGCCAAAAGGTTTGATAGATAATTTTATTTAAAAAATGAAGCACAGTAAAACAAAATTTTTTAATGTTATATTATACATAAACACCTTTTATTAAAAATTCAATTTATTTAATAACCCATAAAATATAGCAATTAATTTTTTTCAGAAATTCATGAAATTTTAGAGTAAGCACAATTCAATTCAATAATCAACTTTAATTATTACACAAAAGACATGTTAATTATTAAAAAAAAACTTTATATAGAAGGATATTTTCATAACGATTATCGTAATTTACTGCTGATCAGTTACTTTTTTCTGGGTACTGTATATGTAAAGCCTCACTATAAGTATACCTCTTCATAGTCACACCATTTGGTAGTCCTAAAGGGCATAACTAAGGTTGCTTGTCTAAACCTCTTCAAAATCCTACGATTAGTTTCGTCAAAATTTTACTATAGATTTATTATAGTTTCGGCAGAGTTTCGGCANGAAGAGGAGGAAGATAATAATGAAAACAATGACGAAGAGGAGGAGGATGAAGGTAATAATGATGATAATAATAATCAAGTAGAAGAGGAATGTAATAACGATGAAGAGGAACATAATTACGATGAAGAGAAACGTAATAACGATGAAAAGGAACGTAATAATGATGAAGAGCAATGTAATAACGAAGAGGAAGAAATACATCAAATCGTTGAAGCGTTAGATGGTCAATTTGCACTGTACTTTGATAATTATACAACTACGGCATTATTTTGCTAGCTTCAGAAATATAATGTTTTTACGAAAGCATATGAAGATCTTGTCGATATCATTCACAATTCTCAATTTGAACCTACCCATATGGTAAAAAATATCCAAAGATTCCAATCATGGAGAAAACGTCTTCCTCTCCTACCAATAATAATAAAGTCTATTAAAATTTCACCAAAAAAAACTCCATCAACCTCACGAGGATCAAAACTTTCGTATCAACTCTCAATTAGTGAAATTATATGGCGTTTTCTTAATAATCCGATGCTAATGAAGCATATGTATTTTGGACCCGGCATTAATTCTGAAGAAAAATCAGAATTTTGGCATGGAAATTTATGGGGGAAATCCCCACTTTTTGGACAACACGAAATATTAATATCAGAAGGTTATAAATTAATACACTTTGATACAATTATAATTTATTATCATTGATAATATTTATTAAAGTTATTTATTTTTAATAAATAGTATTGTACCGATCTGGTGATTTTGTTTACTATCATGATGATAATGGTCAAAAAAAACTTGGAAGATTAAGATCAATTTTAAAAAATCATGATGGATATTATCAGTTACGAATTCAAAAAATTTTGGAATATAGTGATTTACCCAGAAATTTAAAAGGGTTACCAAGACAACGTTGTTCTATTACCGGTGAAGTATGGTTACAGGACGAACGATTTTTAATTATAATGACTTCTCAAATTTTAGAAAAAGTAACTATATTGATGATGTTTCAACATCAAAATATTCCTGATGGTTCATTGCGGATTAGTGAAATAATTTATAAATGTAATGACCGTTGGCACGTTCGTAATGTAAAGCTTTCATACCTACATCCATCTGATTACATTTCTATTAGAAATCCACCATCATCATCTATGCCAATCTATAAGCTGTTTTTAGATCTTTATTATGATGATTTTGGTACATTTAGAAATGTATACCATTCTCTAGGTGGTGTTTATGTACAGTTTGGAAATATGCCAGCACATCAAAGAAAGCTAATAAAGAACCATTTTGTTATTGGGTTTATCCCATTTGGAGGAAAATTTGACGAATTTATGATACCATTCATTTCAGAAATGAAGGAATTAGAGAAAGGAAAGGTGATGACTGTCCAAGGACAAGATGCATGGATAATTGCTGGTTTAGGCGTTGTTACGGCAGATTTACCTCAAGGTAACGATATGACAGGAGTACTAAGGTATTTTTTCAACTTAGTTAATAATATAATAATATAATTTTATGACAACTATTAAAATTTTTTAAAAAATAAATTTAGACATAATGCAAATAAGGGTTGTCGTACTTGTAAAACTACTAAAGAATCATTGAGTGCTCACAATCAGGATATCGTAACAACATTACGTTATCATCATATTACAGACGAAGAAATCTTAAAAATTTCTCATGAGACTATAATGTCAAGAAGAGATCAACTTTGTACGGAATATGGTTTACGATCATTACCTAGTATTTTAGATAAATTAAAAAGGGAAAGACATTTACAGACGCCGCAGGATGTTTATCATGCGACTGCAGGAAAGATTGGGCGGCTACTAAAATTAACTTGTGAATTATTTTCACGAGAAGGAGAAGATATTTTTATCGAAATTTGGAAAAATTTTGAAATCCCAAAAAGATGGTCTCGCTTACCAAATCCGATTACTCACTACAATAGCTGTCTCTTATACACATCTAGATGTGTATAAGAGACAGGTCTAAACCTCTTCAAAATCCTACGATTAGTTTCGTCAAAATTTTACTATAGATTTATTATAGTTTCGGCAGAGTTTCGGCAGTTTCGGCATTTATAATAAGTTTCGGCAGTTTCGCTTTTCTCCAAAGTTTCGCCAGTTTTTTAATATAACTTTAATATAGTTTCGGCAGAATTTCACTTTTCGGTGAAACGCCATCTTGCCTAAACCCTTAGGTTTCGGCAAGCAACCTTAGGCATAACTGTAGAAGGAAATGACTTTATATGCCAAATAACCTATAAAGTATAAATAATCAATTTTATGTAAAGATAATCAATTATACTAGTATTCACCTGTTAAGTAATACTGTTAACTACATACGTTAACAGTTAGGGATAAATCTGCTTAAGTTTATATAACAATTCTGTATATTTATATTTTATAGTAATACACACTTTTCAATTTTATTACTTAAAAATTCTTAAAAAAAAAAATTATTTTTTATTTATTTTTTGGGGTTTGCTAAAGATCACCAGTGGTGATTTTCACTAATAGTGATTTTCATTATATGTAAATTTTATTGGTTAATTTTTTGCATTGTGACACAATTTTTATTTTTTAGTGACTTCAAACTATTTTTGTTATGGCTCTTTTATTTTTTGCCTAAGAATATAAAGATCAATAAAATGCGAAAATCAAGGATAAGATTAAAGGATAATCACATTCCAAAGATAAAGAACATAAAGATCAATAAAAAACGTGAAAATTGAGAATAAGATCAAGGTAATCACATCCCAAAGATAAAGAACACAAAGATCAATAAAAATGCAAAAATCAAAGATCAGATCAGAAATATTAGTAGTATTCTTAAATCAAAAAAAAAACTAAAAAAGAAACAAAAAAACAAATGCAAATACTTACTTTAAATTTAAAGCCAAAATCTGGAGTTCAAGTCCGTTCCTAAAGAAATAGAAAGAAAAAGAACATTAGTAGTGTTCCAAATCAAAGAAAAAAAAATAACAAACAACACAAATATTCACTCCAAAATCAAAATTTTGAGTCCAGTAATATCTGAGTTCATTTCTAAAGAAAAAGAAAGGAAAAGGAATGTTAGTAGCGTTTCTAAATCAAAAAAAAAAATCAAAAAGAAACAAAAAAACAAATGCAAATACTCACTTCAAAGCCAAAATCTAGAGCTTAAATCTGTTCCTAAAGAAAAAGAAATAAAAAACAACACAAATATTACTTCAAAACCAAAATCTGGTGTCTGGTAATATTCAAGTTCATTCCTAAAGAAAAGGAAAGGAAAAGGAACGTTAGTAGCATTTTTAAATTAAAAAAAAACAAACAAAAAAAAACAATTACACATACTCGCTTCAAAGCTAAAATCTAATGTCCAGTAAACATCCAAGACTCCAAGTTTATTCCTAAAGAAAAAAAAAGGAAAAGGAATGTTAGTAGAGTTCCCAAATCAAAAAAAAAAAGAAATAAAAAATAATGTGAATACTTACTTTAAAGCTGAAAGCTAAAGTACAAGTTCATCTCTAAAGAAAAAAAAACAAAAGTTGCACCATGCAAAATCACGGCGTGACGCAAGCTTTTTAAATTTTAAATTTATATATATAGACTGATGATCTTTAGTAAAACCCTTAGGATGTTTCAGGATCCTTTTTCTTTTTTTAGTAGGTCAGTACTTTCTTGCTACGGGATTCTTTTTTTTGTAAGTCAATTCAGTAGGTTTAGTTCGGTGTTCTTTTTTTGCTCCCAGATTTTTTCTTTTTTTGTAGGTTAGTATTCAGCATTCTTTGTAGAGTTCTTTTCTTTTTTGTAGGTCAGTTTAGTATTCTCTTTCTTATAGGACGATGCCTTCAGGATTCTTTTACTTTTTTTGTAGATCAGTATTTGGTATTCTTCTATCGGTTTCATATTTTCTGTTTCTTTCAATTTCCCTTTCATTAGAAGTTTTTAACTTTTTTCATTTTTTTTTCTTTAAATCAGTCCTCTTTTCAGCATCAGATTTTGGGTAGGTAGAGCCCTCTTTCTTTTATTTTCCTTTAGTTAGAGATTGCTAACCTTTTTCGTTTTTTTTTCTTTAGGTCAGTTCTCTTTTTAACGCAAAATTCTAGGTAAGTCTTTCTTTGTTTTCACTTGTTCCGCTTTGTTTTGTTTCATTTTTTGTTTGTTTTAACCTTTATCCTCTCCATTTAGGTCTTACTTCTTTTAGCTCTTCAACCCTAAAATGTATTTTTTGTTTAGTTTTGTTTGTGTTATTTTGTTTAGTTTTGTTTGTGTTATTTTATTTATGTTATTTGTTTTGTTTCACTTTTCGCTCGTTCTTATCTTTACTTTCTTCATTTAGGTCCTGATTCTTCGGCTCTAAGGTGTGACTTATTTTCATTTTTTGTTTGCTTTGTTTCATTTTTTGTTCGTTCTAACCTTTACCCTCTCCATTTAGGTTCTAGTTCTTTCGGCTCTTTGACCCTAAGGTGTATTTTTTATTTAGTTTTGTTTGTGTTATTTGTTTTGTTTGTTTTATTTCACTTTTCACTCATTCTTACCTTTACTTTCTCCATTTAGATCTTGGTTTTTTAGCTCTAAGGTGCGACTTATTTTCATTTATGTTTGCTTTGTTTCATTTTTCATTTGTTCTAACCTTTACCTTTTCCATTTAGGTCCCAGTTCTTTCAGCTTTTTGACCATAAAGTATATTTTTTGTTTAATTTTGTTTGTATTATTTGTTTTGTTTCACTTTTCACTCGTTTTTACCTTTACTCTCTCCATTTAGGTCCTGACTCTTCGGCTCTAAGGTGGACTTATTTTCATTTTTTGTTTGCTTTGTTTTATTTTTCGTTTGTTCTAACCTCTACTTTCTTTTCATTTAGGTATGTACAGTGGGTTCTTTTTTTTACTTCTCTTTTTTCATTGTTAAAGAAAGAGAAAGGGCATAAAATTAATTTAAAAATGCATAACTGATTACTATCAAACGTTATATGTATCACATACTGCAGTTACACAATTTGTAAATAGTTATTTATGTGGGTAGTCTAAATATAACGTCCATATAATTGCAGTGTTTTTTAAATATTAGATTAATTTATAATTGATAAAATAAATATTTAATATTTATTAATAAAAATTTAGAATAATAATAAAACTAAAATTGCTATTAATAAAAATTACTCAATAACAACTTAAATTTAATGAAATTTAATATACAGTCAACTCTTGTTATAACGAACCCTAGGTTCCAGACCTTAACTTCGCTATAGACTAGAGCTATAGTAAAGATTTTAAGAGATTTGATTGGTTAATTTGTTATAGCAAGGGGAAATTTATTATAGTTGTCTAAAAAATTCACTATATCAAGGGTTTGCTATATCAAGGTTTGACTGTATAATAAATTAAGGGTATTGCTAAATATCATCAGTGGTGATTGTCATCACATGTAAAATATTTTTTGTATTTTCAAAAATTTTTGACTGAGATATTATTTTAATTATAATATAAATATCATTACTATATGTAAATTTATAGGTAGAACAAGTTTGGCTTAGATTATTAAGGCTGTTGTTTAGACAGTTTTTGAGAAAAATAGGAAAGTTTGATTTTATAAGCAAAATACAATTTTTTGTTTTAAAAAAGATTTTTTTAGTCAAATTTTCAAAATTTTAGTGTGATTAGTATCTACTCAGGTTTGTTTTACATATTTATTATTTAAATTGAAATTTTTGAAAAAAAATTTATGATGTGTTTTCAACTCTGGCCAAAATTATAATTTTCGGCCAGAATTAAGTGGTGTGGTGACAATCATCACTGGTGATATTTAGCAATACCCATAAATTAAAATTAAATTTAAATTATTTGTGAAATTTAAGTATATGATATTATTATATAAATTTTTCAGCAATGAATTTATGTTATATGATATAATTGAATAAATAATTAGCAAATAATTGATAATGAAATGATCATCAATATTATAATAATAAAATAGGAATATCTACTATACTTTATAAATTATAAAAAAATTAAAAACTTTTTAGATTGGTAATAATTACTACTAGTAATATTTATCAATTTTCTTATTTTTAATATTATATATAGCAATTAAGTACTTTAAATTTTTTTTGAATTTTTAGTAAATTAAATCAATTTTAAAGAAGTAAAAAGTGCTTAATTTTATAAAAATTAGTATATATAATATCCAGGATTTTTAAAATATATGAAGTTTTTGTTTTAATAATTTTTAGAGATCTGTTAAAAACGCTTATAATATAATGAGGAAAGCACATGATTACTTATTTAAATTTCACCCACTATCAGACAACGAAGAATGGGACATACCATTAATAGGTCCAAATGTAAGAAATTTTGTATACCAACAGGCGCCGAAGATGCACACGAAAGATAAAGAACTTATTATAAGAAAAGCGGCATCTATGTCAATTTATGGTGCATTACAGCTGGTTAATCAAGATGCTTCAGATACAATCACATGGCAACAGATTTGTGACGTCAATAAAAGACCAGCTAGGGGAAAAATTCCGAGATGGTTCACTTTACTAGCGGAACTCATACAGAAGGCATCTTATTTAAAGGATTTCTGTATGACAGAGAGGACGCCTTTTAATTCAGAAAATTCCTTAGAACATGAAGGAAGTGATTTAGAAAATGCACAGGCATTTAGAATGTTAAAGAAACCTCCATCCATAGATAACAGAAAGAAAGAATTCGTCCACATGCAGCAGGATCACACACTAACATTTGGACAAATTAATAAAAAACATCAAACTGGCAAACATACAATACAACACTGGGTTATAACAGACAGTGAGCAGAAAATGGATAATGAAAAGCCATACAAAATAATTAAGCGATGTGGAGGTTGTTCACTAAATGATAGAAGAGTCAATAAAGAAACTCATGGCTGCTATTTTAACAAAGACCGCCTGTTATTAACTTGTATAAATAGAGTACCCAAATACCGAAATGATCCAGATATTAGAATAGTAAAAGACATTATAGAAAATAGAAATTATTCACTTCCACAACAAACTGTAGAATATAGTCTTGTGGGTATACAGATTTCAGACTATGATACGGCCTTAATCCAAAACACATTGTTAGACAATGAAGCCATACAACAGCATACAACATTATCACAACAAATAAGACTGAATTTCGTCCCACATGATACGATTAACATATACACAGATGGCTCACTAACAAATCATTTTAACAACAGCTCTAACACATTTACAAAACTCATGGGCACAGGTTGGGTAATATTGAATAATAAAGATGAAGTAATATTAGAATGCAACAGTTCAATCACAGATTGGCCTTCATCCACACGTGCAGAACTAGGAGCCATTCTGTCAGCCATATTAGTTTTACAGACAGGACAGAAAGCAAATATTATTACAGACTCACAAGCTGCCATAGATAGTATTAATCACACAAGAACAAATCTAACAAATGGTAAAAACAAAACTCGAACATGGTGCAAATGTAACAACTATAGTATAGTAAGTAGTATAATTAACCTTATTGATAGTAAACAGTTAGAAATAAAGTTGGTAAAAGTTAAAGGTCACTCAGGAGTCAAGGGCAATGAAGAAGCAGATAGGGTGGCAAAAAACAATACAAAGAAACCAACTTGCATCAATATTAAAGATTCACAACAAAAGGATTTAATATATGATATCTACTGGAATGGCAAAAGAGTTGACAGAAATATCAGAAAATTTATAGATAAATTGTGTGAAACTACATTAGATGCTGCATGGTCCCTCAACCGCACACATAGATCAGTCTTTTCAGATACAACTGACACAATAGAAGAAGAGGTTACTTGGACACTGTTTAAAAAAAATACAGGACACAACTGTACAACATCACTAACAAATGACAGATTCATCAAACACTTGAAACTTTTAAATTGTTTGCTCCCAACTCTAGAAATCATGAAGGAAAGAAGATATGACTTATATGGAGATGTAAAATGTAGGTTTTGTCTTGAAGAAAATGAAGATGATGATCATATGATATATTGTCAACAGCTCAGTAATAAGTGGACAATTGTAGCTGACAACACTGTATGTAAATGTAATCAAATAATTAAAAATTTTTTATTACAAGAAAAACATATTCAATTAAGTCAAGAAGACACACAACAACTGCTCTCATGGAATAACAACTTCTTTGCTAACACAACTGCTGTTGATTTGAATATGCCTATTCCCTATGTTCACTTAATGATAAAAAGTTTTTTTCCAAAAGGAAAATACAAGGAACTCAAGACCATTGTTAAGTCAAAGAGAATAGCATTAACTATTGCAGCCCTTTTCTTGGAAGTATTTGTTAGTGAATTTTACAATATCATCTGGCAACCACGTTGTAAGGCAGTAGCAGAATGGGAACATACTAAAGGCATAAAAAAACAAGATTTAAGGAAAAGGCCATTAGCATATCAACGCATTGCATACAATCAGATTCTAACTATACAAACAGAAGAGGGTACGTTTGATTTGGAAAAAAGAAAAATTTTGAAACATAATGAACAATGGTCAATAGCATTAGAAAAAACAAAACAATACATTAACCAATTTATTAGAGAAGGTAACAGGGTACTTTGGAAGGTATATAATAATACAAAAATATACAAATATAATATAACCTTTCTTTTTTTTTTTATCTAGAGGGTAGTGAAAGCATTTACTTAAGCTTTATGAAATAGTGATCCTATATAATTTAATAGCTACTATTGAAGGATATAGGTGAATTTCATAAGGTAATGGTAGGGTACAGGAGCAATCTTATGGATGGGGAACTGGTTTGGAGTTTTAATAAATTAGTTATATAACATATGTTTTTACATTCCTACATATAACTAATAAACTCACAAATTGCACTACCTTGGTTAAAAAAAAAGAGATCTGTTAAAAATAAAATTCAATTTCTGAATTATTTATTTAAATTAGTATAAAATTAATATGCTTTGTTACCTATTATTATAAATATATCAAATTGTCAGAATTTTCTAATAAGGGACAATTACAAAAAAATTATTCAAAAAGACAACTACTGGATCTTGTTAGCTTTTTATATAAAATTCTAGTAAGTTAAACATCACGGGAAAAGTCGATCAATATAATTAAACCACGATACCCTGACAATACATAATTACATATTGGTTGAGTGGATTGGGTCCCGCAATTCGATTTGCTAAATTTTAATTTGTGGCTTTTCAAAATTTCCCTATTTATAACTTTGCATATCGCAACGCCACCGACTTCCTAAAAATGAAAGCCATGTTACCGTTAGATAGCTACTGTTTTACCGAACCGCCGTAAATCGTAACGTAATACAAGTGTCATTACGAACTGATTTTGCCCCCTTTTTATTTAACACACCAGTTCAAAAAATCATTTCAACAAATTTTTTTTTCCTCCACTGCTTCTTATTGTACACATAGCCTTCTATCAAGCCACACTTAGAAAACTCTATACTTTCCCCTTTATATAAGTTATGGAAAACGTTCAAGTAGGGAAAGTTAATATTCATAGTACTAAAGAAACTATACAAAATGACGTTATGGAAGAAGCCTCAACTTCTCACGCTGATAGCACTGCGCCTCCAAACGCCGCCTCTTCAACTTTACAACAAATTTCAAAGGTAGAAAAACCACTCAGAAATCATTTAGCCGAGCAGCAAGTTATTCGTGCGAATACTTCCAAAAACGAAGGTTCCATGACTTCGTCTAACACAGTAATTACTTTCCAACAACAAGCTTGGATTGAAGAAGATAAAACTGACCTTTCAAATTCAACAATAACATCAGTAACAACACAGAAGGAGCCTGTTATGACTGAGTCGCTTGTTCAAAACTTACCTACGGGCATTTCGTCCACTACTCCGTCCACAACTCATGATATAAACATGATGACACCCAATATGAAAAATTTGAATGCTCCTGGTCGATATACTACAGATTCTGCTAACTTTTCTTCCCCTTCAACTCCTTTAGATTCTTCTCCTTCAGGAACCTTTAATCAATTTTCTGTAAATACAGATAAAACAACTCCTGGACAGCAAAATAATCCTAATGCAGCAAAAGCAAAACCATTTGTTTGTAATGTGTGTAACCAGACTTTTAGCCGACAGCATAACCTGAAATCTCATGCCTTAACTCATTCCCAAGAAAAACCGTTCCAGTGTGAAATATGCCATCATTTCTTTCGTAGACATCATGATTTGAAAAGACATGCAAAATTACATACAGGAGAAAAACCATATCAATGTCAACATTGTAAAAGGAAATTTGCAAGATTGGATGCGTTGAATAGACATTTACGAGCCGAGAGTTTTTGCGGTGGACCACAGAAAAAACTTTTTCAGAATTCGGAATCCAAGTTGGAACCAACGTCGTCACAACAGCCACTTCTTCAACCACCGCCACAACAACCTGTGCCACAACCACAACAATCAATTCAGCCGCAAACGAAACCACAATTAGATCAAAAGCAAAATTCACAACAGACACCACCACAATTACAGCAACAGCAATATAAACAATCCGTTGAAGATTTACAAAAAAAACAGGCTCAAAATCAACCTAATAACAATACATCAGTTACTAAAAATGAAATATCATTTCAAAGACAACAACAAGTGATTCAAGAACAATATCATTGGGCTCAACAATCTCCAACACAGCAGTTGTCTCAAATTCAGTCCATGCCTCAATCTAACAATACACAATCATTACAAGGAAAGCAAGCAAATATTGTTATGACAAATCAAGCTCATCGTCAGATAATATTCCCAGTTGATGCAACAACAACGACTACTGCTAATCCTCATTATAAAATGCAATATACTATTAGTAAGCCAATTCAAGAACCACAAAGGAGAGTTTCTGAGATGATGATAGCGAATGATCAAGATGTTGATGTCCATCCTAATAATGGTAAATCTTCACAGTTAATTGAGAGAAATAGTTATTTGGAGGAAAGAGTAAGAGAGTTAGAAAATGAAGTTATTAATGAGCGTAAACTACGAAGTCGTCGTGAGTTTTTGGAGAAACGAGTGAACGAACTTGAAATAGAAGTATGTATATTGTTATTTATCTGAATTCGTACCGATCATATTTTATTCATACTCGATCTCTTTATTTAGAAAAATCTTCTGAAGCAACTTTTATTGGAACGCGATACTGGTTCGTCTGACATTTCACATCTTGAAAAAAAACGTAAAACAGCATCACCAATTGATTCATCTAAACATCAAAAAGATTGAGATTGCATATTTATAAATGATGTTGTAATATAAGTTGAATGAAGGCTTGTGGCATTCAGTGATTTATAGATATTTATATTTCCAAAATTTGAACTTTGCCAAATATTTTTGCTCTGTAAGGAAGCAAATAATCATAGTATATTTGATTTATTTTTTATTTTATTACTGTTAACTAATATTTATCAATGATTTTAATTAAATGTTAAAAATCTAAATTTTTATATTACTGTATTTTAAATGCACAATAAAATAAATGCTTGTGAGAGTTATACTCTCTTTTACTATTACCTATTACAGTGAAATGAAAAGTTTTAAACATTTAGTTATTTTAAAATAAATTGTAAAATAATTAAAAGAAAATAATTAATTAGTTTTTAAGTTTTATGCGATTGTAGAAATAAATTATAATATTTATTTTGTTACATAGAAAGAGGTCTCTCTTGCATCCCAATGTTGTTTCTGATCGTGGTCTTATTATTTATTGAGACTTCTGAGGAAGCGGATTTAGGAGAAATCGGAGAACTCAATTGAGCTTTTTTGTTCTTAAAAGAAAGGCTAATTGAGGCTGTTGATCAAATTATCATTCAAGGAATTAGTTAATTACGTTAAATTATTAACTTTTGCTAAAAATAGATAAACAATTACCCAAGCCGCTAGCAACACTATTCTTTTTCTTTCCTCTATTCTCCCAACTCTTGCTTTGACTACTCCCACCATCACGAAGTTTCTGTGCGTGACCAACTAAGCGTTCAATCATTCGGTTGTATGTTTCTGAATCCATCATTGTTTGCTCGCGTTGATCCAACCAATATGTAAGAATATCCGAGGTTTGACGCGACAATGAAAGAATTTGTGATTTAAGAGTAAATAATTGAGTTGTTGTATATTCCTGTAGAGTTTCTTCTGATATTGAACATAGCGACTTAGCCAATTCAACATCAATTTGTTTTGGTATCTCTGAGTGCGACGATGTATTATTTGTTTTAGAAAGATTTCCATATGAAGAGCTGGAAAGATTGTTATTTGATGAAGGTGTTGTGGACCTACTAACAGGTGCTGAGGACGAACACGTTGCTGATTTCGAAGCAGGTCGTAATGGTTGTGGAGATAACATTGACGGAATCGATATCATTGTATTTGTATTGACTGGCACTTTTATCTTTAAGTTAATTAAATATACAATTACTATTTGACATCCTAAAGATTTCTTATACGATAATTAACAAACCTCTTCTGCAACATCAATTCCCAAAGAAGCGTAAAATTCTCTTCTTATTTTGGATCTTTTCCACTGAAAAGGATTTTCAGTTGTCTCATAAGATATTTGTCGCCATATTTCTAAACTAAATCACCAAAAATAAAAATATTTAAATCTATAAAATATAAATCCCTTCGTTTTCCTTGAAAATTAATAAATTCAAAGTGTAAAAAAACTAACCTTCCAGGTGTATTTAATATGGCTTCTAATCCAGTATCATCATCGGAATAGATTTCTTTTATATTTGTTGAAGATATATCGTCATTTGATCGAAATACTTTATCCAATACACTTGATAAATTTTCAATATCCACTTGAGGCTAATTATTTAAAAAAATAACGATGAATGAAATGATCTACTTTGATTATGCTAGTGAAGAGATAATTAACATGTCTAAACTTACTAATTTTGTTTCAAACGAAACATTCGAAAGCTGTATACCAAAATTATTATTTAAATTATTTTCTTGAAAATTCCCTAATTTTTCAAATGAATCACTACTTTCTGTAAAATCTGCAAAATCATCAAAATCGTCAATTTTATGCCCTTTCTCTATTGTTTCTTGAAAAGTTTCTAAATCGCTCCCATTAGCAAAGTCTGTAAATTCCTCGAAATCGTCGAAATTATCAGGAAAACTTCCAGTTAATACTTCTCTAAACTCCGATTCATTATTATTGTTTTCAAAATTTATTTTAGTTTCCATTTTTCAGTTAGAATACGAAATCCTATAGCTCTGTATTTACTAGTAATAATTTTTAATCACGTGCATGAATTTTTGAGTCATGATTATTTTAAGTTCGTAATGTCGCAGTCCGTCATATTGATAAATCATTCGGACTTCGGAGTTTGCTTGTGCTACGTAAGAAAGAAATCAGGTTTTATATAACTTGCTAAAAGAGCCCAAATTTTTAAAAAAGATAGCTTTTGGGTTTCTACTCTGTAGTGTTATTTATTCACTGGCAGAGCAGTTTTTATCTACTTCATATTAAAGAGACTCTTTCAGGTTATTTTACTTGGCTTCTCTTAACTCACACCTCGATCACTTGCAATAATTTTTTATAAGGTAATAAAAAATAATATATAAAACTGCGGCAAAATTTAAACGCGCATTCTCATTTCAGTAATATCCTTAGCAGCAATGGAGTCGAATCCACCTTTACCTGCACCAAACGACTTGGCAGCTACTTGGGCTTTTCTTGAAAATGGCATCGATCAAATTATGAATAGGCTGGAAGAAGGATTAAGCTACAAGCGATATATGGATCTTTATACGTATCCTTTTTATAAATACCTTTTGCAATGTATCATTTATTTCAAGCATCTATGGATGGTTTGTGTAACATTAATAGTAATAACATTATTGAAAATACTCTGATGAGTTGCTGATAAATTTTCATATAAAAAAAAAGAAAGATAAATAATAATTCATATGTTCCTCTTTCTGAAACTTTAAATAAATTTACTCATTGTATCCTTGACGGCATTGATTCACTTATATAGTGGTATTTACAATTATTGTACAAGCAGTCGTATGAATCCTGGTTTTGCTTCAGAACCTCTCGCTGGTCCTGGTTCTAATTTAAATAATAATCGAGGTACAATAATTCCAGCATTTCATATATTGTTCTTATTTATTTAATGTATTTTAAAGGTCTAATTTGTTTTTTGTATGTGAAATTGTTTAATTTAGGGGCCAATTTAATGGGTAGTGATTTATATCAGAATCTACAAAGATATCTAGAAAGACATCTTTTCACTATTCGTGAGGTATAACGGTTTAATAAGTATATTATTAGAGGATTGTTTTTAATGATTAACAATCTTTTTCTTTTCTCAACAGAATTCAACGCAGTATATGGACGAGAATTTATTGCGGTATTATACTAGACATTGGGAGAAATATACAACGGCTTCCTCATACGTGCATCATGTGTTCCGGTATCTTAATCGTCATTGGGTGAAGAGAGAAATCGATGAAGGTCGCAAGACAGTCTATGACGTTTATACTGTATGTCTTACATTAAGTACGGATACAAAATTTGATATTTGTAACATCACAACAAATTACAAAGACTTACAAATTTAATATAACGCGACACACTCTTTATACATTATATTGCTTATATAGCTCACCTTAGTCAGCTGGCGAGAACACATGTTTAAACATGTAGAACGCCACGTAATGACTGCAGTGTTAAAACTCATCGAACGACAAAGGAATGGTGAGACTGTTGAAACTGGTCTCGTTAAAAGTGTTGTTGAATCTTTCGGTAAGTTTATTCTTTAAAATTTTTGTACATTCGTTTTATACGATTGTGACATTCATTCATATATTTGTCTATTTAGTTGCTCTTGGTCTTGATGATGCGGATTCTTCTAAATCCACGCTTGATGTTTATAAGGATCATTTTGAAAGACCATTCGTGGAAGCTTCGGAAGTTTATTATAAGAAAGAATCGGAAAAGTTTGTCAGCGAAAACAGTGTCACAGATTATATGAAAAAGGTATGAAATGTAAAAATTCTCTTCCCTTCCTGTCGAGTTCTATGCCTTTAATTATATGATCTCTTTAGGCCGAGACGCGTTTATCCGAGGAAGAAAACCGCGTAAAAATGTATTTACATACGAGTACTAATAAACCTGTAAGTATACAAGATAATATTATCATTAGATATTTGAACATTCATTAATTTTAACTAATATTACTTTCTTTTTAAAGCTTATTACAACATGTGAGGCAGTACTTGTAAAGAATCATACAGACATCATGTGGGATGAATTCCAAAATTTATTGAATATGGATAAATTAGATGGTAATTATATACTTAATTATAAGAAGATATAGTGTTACAATTAATAAAATGCTGTGTTTTAATTTTAATAGACCTCCATAGGATGTATTCTCTTTTATCGCGTATCCCTGAAGGATTGGACCCACTACGTACGCGATTCGAAGAACATGTGCGCAAGGCTGGTTTGAGTGCTATCGAAAAAATTGCAGATCAAGGCGGTGAAACCATGGTATAATCAATTTTTTTTTTTTTACTTTTTTTTTTAAAAAAAAAATGGATTTTTAATCTTTACTATTTTAGGAGCCAAAAACTTACGTCGATGCACTGTTGGAAGTCCATAGAAAATATAATGATATGGTTACAACAGCGTTCAGAGGCGAAGCTGGCTTCGTTGCATCACTGGATAAGGTAAATAACGAATAATTTACGCAGTCTAAAATTTTTTTTATTAATCTTGCGTTTAACTTTAGGCTTGTCGAGAGTTTGTGAATCGCAACAATGTGTGTAAGTCCTCGACATCAAAATCCCCAGAATTGTTGGCCAGGTTCTGCGATTCATTACTTAGGAAGAGTGCGAAGAATCCAGAAGAAGGCGATCTGGAAGATGTATTGAATAACATCGTATGTACATCAAATGAAAAAAAAAGCCAATATCTTTTAAGTTTGCTAATATTTAGTATTCTATAGATGACAGTGTTCAAATATGTTGAGGATAAAGACGTGTTCCAAAAATTCTATTCTAAAATGTTAGCAAAACGTCTCGTGAACGGTACATCGGCATCAGAAGATGCTGAGTCGAGCATGATATCAAAATTAAAGGTTTGTTGCTTAATATATTTAACATTTTAAGTATGTACAAATTATACATATTTCTACGTAAATTTTAGGAAGCTTGTGGCTTTGAATATACTTCAAAATTACAACGCATGTTTACGGACATGGGTCTGAGTAAAGATCTTAATGATCAATTCAAAGATAGATTTTCGACGGATGCAGGTGATCAGCAAGGTATTTGCAAACGGGATATTTCCATTTAGGCGTTTTTATATTTGCATATAAGTGACTCATATATGTTACGTTATATGCTGTAATTTAGTTGATTTTTCGGTTCTTGTATTGGGAACAGCATCTTGGCCGCTTCAACCATCTACTACTAATTTCATCATACCCGAAGAGGTATGTTATTTCTTGATTAATTAAATAGTTAATATGCAACAAATTAATTATTTTTATTCCATTATACTTTAGGTTGAAAAAACGTTTCACAAATTCAAAATGTTTTATCAAAATAAACATTCAGGTCGTAAATTAAATTGGCTATTTCATCTTTCAAAAGGGGAATTGAAAACTAATTATTTGAAGGCATCAAAGACAACTTACACATTTCAGGTTGGTATATAATATAGGTGTATTTTTGTAATCATATTATTTAAACTTTGTTTTACAATAGGTTTCTACATATCAAATGGGCATTCTTCTGCAATACAATAAAGACACGACATATACTTTTGAAGAATTGAGCCAAAGTACCGATTTGAATGCAGAAGTTTTATCGGGACAATTAGGAATTTTAGTGAAAGCTAAAGTATTACTACTCTCTAACGGAGCTGTTGGCGAACCCGGTTCTCGATATGATTTGCATATGGATTTCAAGAGGTTTGCAATAATGATTTAATAATTGATATAAATAAATCAATAATTTAGAATTACATTAATTATTTTGTTACTTAATAAATAATACAATAGTAAGAAGGTTCGTATCCAATTGAACGTTCCTGTTAAATCTGAACAGAAGGTTGAAGTAGAAGAGACACATAAGACTGTTGAAGAAGACAGAAAATTGTTGATGCAGGTTTATATTATATTTATAATTATGGTATTTTGATTTACATGAAACGTAAATTAATGATTTGTTTTTTGAAATAATAATCAGGCCGCCATTGTTCGTATTATGAAGACGCGCAAAACAATGAAACACGTAGCTCTTGTCAACGAAGTAATTTCTCAGCTATCAAATCGCTTCAAGCCAAAAATTCCAGATATCAAAAAGTGTATTGATGTCTTGTTGGAAAAGGAATATTTAGAACGTGTAGAAGGCCAAAAGGACATGTTTTCATATGTGGCTTAGTTTTTAGTTAATTCGTTTAACATTACTATTAATTCTTTTCAGACAAATTTTATCATAGTGTATAATTTATCGGAATCTGCGTTAGATATTGTTGATAATAATTGCCATAGCTAAAATCGAGTCTTGGTAATAAAAGCTTGACATGTTTTACTATAATGAACTAGCAGTAGTTTTGAAATTGTATAAACTTGGTGGTTTACTTCTCTTATGTTGATTATATACAATGATTCAGTCAAAAAAATAGAAGTATTAAGCCTAAATTTTATGAACAATTTTATTTTTTTATTCTTTTTAACTCATTTTTCCTTATACTCCTTTTTTTTTTAAAAAAAAAAAAATCCTTATATTTTCTTTATATATGTACTTTTCTTGTAATAAATATCATAAATTTTTTAAATCAAAATAGTTATTTTTTTTTTTTTTTTTATATTGGTCACGTGATATAATTTGTATAACCATATATTTAATTAAAAGATTATATATATAATAGTTTAAAAAATCAAATTATTAGTTATCCTAATATTATATATATTGCTTTTTAAGTATTACTAAATAAAATCTAGACTTTTTAACCTTTAAAACCTTTACCAGTAAAAAATCAATTTTATTTTATAAATATTTTACTTTTTATATATTTAATAGGATTCTAAAAATCTTTTATCTATATTAGATAAAATAAAATTTTAGATATAAAGGCTATGCAAACTTAATTTTTTGGTTTATAACATAGCAATTTTAAAAATAACTTGGCAACCTAGTTTTAATGTTTTTTTTTTCAAAAAATTTATATATGAAATTTTTTTTTAATTTTAAAAAATTTTACCTAGTATAATAATATAAAAAATTTTTTTGGAAATCTAACAAAAACTAATCCAACCTGAATATAAGAACTGAAAAATTAAGTTTATATAGTCTAACTAAAAATTTTACTATAAGAAATTTTTTTAAACTAAAAGTAAAATTATTAGTAAAAATATAAATTATATTAATTTTACTAGTTACTTACTGCTATTATTTAGTATGTATAGATTTATCAAAAGCTTTTCTTTGTTATATTTGTTTAGTTTATTATGTTACTAAAGTACTTTTTTTATTAGTTTAATTAAAGTATTAAACAAATTAAATATAAAAGGATTATTTACCTTAATTATAAATTATAACCAAAAGGTCTCTTTTTTTACTTTAAAAAAAAGGTTAAAAAACTGATAAATTTTTAATTAAAAGGAAAAGTGTTATTTTATTTATTTATTTTAAAATACAAATAATAGATTAAAAGTTAAAAAAACCTTATTTTAATATTATACTAAAATTATATATTTAAATAATTTAATTTAAATAACTCATTATAAATTATAATTGTATAATCTTTTTAAATTCTTCTACACTATTTTTCTAAATAAATAAATAAATAATAAATATATAACACAGTCAACTCTTTTTAAGTGCATGTAATATATATTTTTTCTTTAAATGCATTTTTTTACTCAGTTTTAAGTATATAGAGATTACATATAATTTCTTTCTCTAAATGTATATATACCCTTTTTAAATGCACATTTTTTTCAAATTTTTATTATAATTTCAAAAGAGATGCATTTAGAAAAAGTTGACTGTATAACTAAATATAACTAAACTAAATATATCTAAATATATTTATAAATACTAACTAAATAAATGTTTTATATAATTGCATTCTACTGGATGGATATAGTTTATGATAATTTGTTTGTATAATATATAAACTACATATCAATAAAGCATATATAGTAAATCATTAAAAAAAAAAAAAAAAATGTTTATATGATAAAATGTATTTTGTTAAATTTATAATATAAATTTTCATACTATTATATAATTTTATATTTAAGTAATAATTAAAAAATTCAATACACAATTATTTATTTAACTAATTAAAATTTCATATTAAAATAAGTAAATAAATATCTTATATGAGAGTAAATTTTATTATACAGTCGTCACTGGATATAACGAATCTGCCGTTCCAAGCATTTTAGTTTGGTATATGATGAATTTGATATATGATATTCATATTATATATTGAACTGTTCGGTATATAAATTTTATCCAATTAAATTATAGCAGCATATACTGTAATATTTAAAGTTCAGATGATTACATGATTTACTATAACAGATAATACTATGTTTTATTTAAAATTTATGTGTTCATCAATTTTTTAAGTATTTACCAGCTATTCAAATGAAAATTTTATCTGAAATAATTTTTCTGGTAGTCCATTCTTTTATATTACTAATTAAAGTTACGTGATAGTTCAGTATACTAAATATGTAACTGATATACTTGGGCTGGCTAAAATAAGTTCAGATGTGATATATAGTAATTTATTATGTGATTTCGTTATATCCAGTACAATTAATTATAAAAAAATCAGTTCTGTGAAACTTGGTTCAATACAACAAGTTTTCAGTACAAACAGGTTCGTTATAACCAGTGGCGACTGTATTGTTAAGTAACTTAAATCTAACATATTTATATATTGTTTAGAATTTTAAAATAATCTATACTTAAAAATAGAATTAGAAAAATGTATTATGACAGTTCAAAAATTACTTCAGGAGATAACAACTGACACATCTGCAAAAGTGCTATAAATATATAAAACATTTAGTTTAAAAAAATAAAGCATTTAAAACTAAAAATTCTGCACTTAATTCAGAAATTAATAAATATTTAAAGTAATATTTTTGTTTTATTAATAAAAATCAGGTTATTATTTTAATAACTTTATTTTTAAGAATATATTGTAAATTGATTTCCACATTAACTAAAAATAAAACTATTGCAAAAATACAAACCTCTAATAGAATTTGTTATAACTTATTGTCAAAAAAAAAGCATATTTATTTTAGATAATAAATTATTTAATGCAAAATGTTTTTTTTAAGCAATCAAACTTCCTGTAAAGTATGTTATCCTATCAGAATGTCTATTAATGTCATTTAATTTTTGCTTAACCTAGTACCATTTCAAGTATTTTTTGTAATATTTTATTTTGTACAGTTAATATTATTTAATTACTGTTAAAATATTACTTTTTGAATATCAGATAATCCAGATCAGTATGAAACATTTGCAAATTTATATGGTAAATCCTCAACAGAAAATTTCACTTTAATAAATTCAAAATCTAAAGCTAAACTGATACCAAGTAATGTTCTCATTCCGCCAAAATCTGGAATATATAAAATGTAATTCTTGTGTAAATACATGATGCCTTTATATTAACAGAACAACAAAAACAAACTTACACGTATTTACAGTATGTGGATCACCAATTTTTCCAGATGAGGTTTGATCGCAAATTTGTACCCTTAAAAGGCTTAAATAATTGCGGTTAGAGCTGACCTACAAATCGATTTATAATATAAAACATAATAAACAACACATAAGCTATTATGGATATATAACCAATCCGATCAATTAAAGATTGTGCATAATTAATTATACGGCATTTTTTCGGTCAATCCGATATGATTTAGAAATGAACAGGGCTCAAAAGATTTTGTTATTCTCCTATTGAATTGCTTTATTCTGTTAATAAAATTTTTGGTTGCACGCGACTCTATATGAAAGTCGTGTTTTACCTTCCCTAAACTTTTATATAAAACAGACTATAATTAATTTGGTTCAGCCTTAATATGAAATAAAGTTTTTGACGTATTTGCAAGAAATGATAATATCAGATATGATAAAACATGAAACTATATAGACTTTTAATTAGTACTGCGGATGTGACCTTATCGTCCTATTATGCGTGCTATAATGATCGGCAGTTGAAATACGCGCCTTTTAGTATTCTACGCGACAGAAAAGTTTTGTAAAAATTATGTACTCAAATACTGATACAAATAATAAACGCACTTTGGCAAGTTCCACTGTAGGAGGAGAACGTTATGAAGTTAAGAGACACCATGGAACGAAATATCCGCATCTTCTTAATTTTTATAGTGTGCCTCCTACTGAAGAAATTACCATTGACGAATTTGAAAGCTTCGCTTTTGATAGATTACAAGGTATATAGTTTATCTACATGTGGCTTATTTTTTTTAAAAAAATGTTTCTATTTAAATTTATCTCCAAAGTATTAAAGGCCCTTGAAGGAGCAATATTACGTAACAAATCGGAAGATGATGTAAAAAAATATTTAGAAGAAACATCGAATAAGTGGCTTCCGTTACACTCAAACGAGTCAAGTAAAGCGTATCTGGTGCAAGAAGAAAGGAGAAAAGATCATATATCTCATTTTATTTTAAGGTTGGCTTATTCTAGAACGTAAGTAGTTTAGTTATTAGTGTAAAAAATTCATAATTTATATAATTTATACTAATTACATTCTATTATAAAAGTGAAGAATTAAGAAATTGGTTCCTAAAATATGAATGCGCTTTATTCAAGTAAGCATAAAAGTGAATGTCTAATATAAAATGATTTTTAATCAAATTAATATATTTTATACGTGACAGATTAAGATTTTTAAGAGAAAATCCAACAGAAAAACAAGCATTTCTAAATGATGAAAATATGAGATGGAAAAGTGTATGATCTAAACCAATACAATATAGAGTCATCTTTAAGTTCGTTTCATTTAACTAATCAAATTATTTTATTCTACAAGTTAAATCAAGCCGAAAAGAAATTAATGAAAGAAGAATTGAATGCTTGTTCGATTCCTATTACTACTGATGGTGAATTTTGTGATCTTTTTGAGGTACAAAGAGAAATCCGAATTTTGAAAATTAATAATTATTTTTAAAGAATCTTACTGTTCGTTTGAAATAGATTGATTTTGAGAAAGTACCAGATCTTGTTGCAAGACGTGCCGTTTATTTGAAAGAGGGTAAAGCTTACGTCCCAGTAACCCAGCAATTATCACTTGTTATGTATGAATTTCGTCAGAGACTTGCGAAAGCACTAGAAGTACGCAAAATTCTTTTTTGTTCTAGTTTCACATAATACATTTATTTATTATTTATTTTTATAGTTAGCAAGCAAATCGTTTATTACATTAAGAAATGAACGAATTATGCCAATGTTGGATGAAATTATTAAACAGTACGACGGAAGAACGCAGACAAGCAATTACTCTGTCATTAACAACCCAATTGCGGATAACGTGCATCAGGCAAGTTTAAAATGTTGTATTATTTATTATAATAACAGATTCTTACTTCTTGTTATGTAACAGCTGGTTGATCATTTCCCATTATGTATGCAACATTTGTATCAAAACCTTTGCGAGAATCATCATTTGAAACATTATGCTAGAATACAGTTTAATTTATTCCTCAAGGTATTTTGTTGCTCCTATGAGAATTATATAGAATTAAGATTAATTAGCATAATGTTTAATTCTATAGGGAATTGGATTAACTGTCGAAGAATCACTTGCTTTTTGGAAAAAATCGTTTTCCAAAGTTGATGAAGATAAGTTTCAAAGAGATTACGCGTATAATATTAGGCATAATTATGGTGTAGAAGGAAAACGTCAAGACTATAAACCTTTAAAGTAAGTCTCTCGTTTATCAAATTTTTTTTTTTTTATCGATTAAATTTTATAAATGTTACTTCTGTAGTTGTATGTCTCTTATAACGAAACATCGGCCTAATTCAGGAGAAATTCATGGATGTCCTTTCCGAGAATTTTCTCAACCAAACTTGAAAGCTAAATTGGTACAGATGGGAGTAAGAAATGATGAACATATAAGAGAAATTTTAAACCTTGCTGAAGAAGAACATTATCAAGTCGCTTGTACTAAATATTTTGAGATTACTAAAGGCTTGCTAGATAAAAATAATGACAGTATTATTATAGAAACAATTGAACATCCAAATGAATATTTGAATGCGAGTGTTCTTCTTGAAAAAAATAGGAAGAAAATGAGTAATAAGGATAAATGAAAAAATATGGTTTTTTATCTATTAATTATAAAATAAAAAAGTCTAATGTAACACAGATGAGATAGTCGATCTAAAGTTTTGATAAATTAGAAAATGTTAATAAAACTAATATTCAAAATGTCAATTCAAAATCTGCTGAGAACTTCTAGATCGAATTATGGTTTGCAATTTGCAAGTTTATATAGATTGACTTCGATAAGAAGATATTCCACAAATGTGGATGAAACACAAGCAAATAATATACAAACGAACGCCAATGTAAAAGACAAGCCTATTACTAACACTAGCGATACCAAGAGTTACTCAATGAATGCAGGAAGAAGTAACTCTTTTGCAAATAGACGTAGGGCTCGTGATAGGATAGAAAATCAAACTCTATCTCGAACGCTTGACCAAAGATCTGTACCTCCACCTTCTTCTATGTTAAGAAATTGGGAAAATTCCCCAAAAAAGCTACATTTGAATTTTTGGAAAGGTGAATTAAAAAATTATTATTATATATATATATTGTTTTTCTTTTTTTTTTTTAAGCAAAAGTTAATTATCGTAATAATTTGTATAGAGCCATATACGAGATTGTATCAAAATATTCATATTTCTAAACTCCCTATTTCTGTTACTCATCAAGATATTGAAATGTTAACTCAAGGAATTTATCCTGACAATGAAAACCCCATTAATAAAAGTTAAGTCTTTACGTTCAATGTGAATTTTCTAAAAAAAATTATCGGATTAATCTTATATACTTCATTTATATAGTTTTTATGGTATACAATGATTATTATAAACCAACCGGATCTGCATGGATACAATTCAACCACTCTAGAAATGCTTCGCTATTTGCTAAATATGTTAATCAAAAAACTTTTTATGGAAACAAATTAAATGTTGAATTAATGGTAATCAAATTTTTTTTAATCTTTTTTTTTTCGATAAATAGTAATTAAATACATACTTATTTTGCAGAAATATATTCCCGAGGAAATTCAAATGGATCCATTAAATTATCGTGTTGGTAAATGTATTATTTTAGCAGGACTGCCGCGGGACGTAACCAAATCCTATCTAGAGGAATATTTAATACAAAAATCCAACAAACGCTTTGAACTCGCCGATGTTACTCGAGAGTATGTATATACATAAATAATAATATTGCAAAAGTCTTATTTGTTGCTAATGATGATGATATTTCAGGGCTGCAACTATTAGTGATACATCAAAATGGTTGATATTATCCAATAGTTCGGAAGATATTTATTTCATATTTGATAGAATTCATAATAAGTATTTTGATAGTGATAATGAATATAAATTGAAAGCAAGAGTAGTAAGATAATTTATTAATAAATAATAAACCAATTTTATGGAGATCTAATATATATCTGTGGGATCCCAACAGAAATGCCTATTTTCACTCAAAGAATCGAGAGACTCCATATCCTAGAAAAAAATATATTTTTTTTAATATACTAGTATAATGAAAATTCTTATAAAAAAAATATATATATATATATTTACTTGCTCTGTTAATTCAAAATGAAATATATTTGCGTTTAAGCTTATTCGTTCTGGTGTGATAGACTTGGGTATAACGATAGCATCATGTTGATATCCCCATCTTAATAAAACTTGTGCTGTAGTGACTTCATGCTTATCAGCAATTTCTTTTAAAATAGGAATATTGATTTCCCCATTTATTAACTTTCCTTGACCAACGCTTGAATAAGCTTGTACTTGAATATTATTTTTTTTACATATATCAATTACATCTTTTTGATATAGGAGCGGATGCAATTCGAATTGTAATACTTGTGGTACTATAGTACAATATGACAACAATTCAGTAATATGACGATGAGTATAATTGCTTATTCCAATAGATTTAACTTTTCCTTCTGAATATAATTTTTCTAGAGCTTTCCAACTTCCTTTACGATTTTCCGCATGCATTGGATCTGACGGTTTCAGTTTTGATGTCCTAAATTTAGGTAGGTTCATTATTATGAGGACGATGAAAATAATATATATGTATATTATGTTATTTATAACAATCTCACCCGGGCCAGTGAATCAAAAATAGATCAAGATAATTAAGATTCCATCGTTTCAAAGAACACGAGAATGCTACATAAAAAAGGATATTAATTAGATTTTATTAATAAAGACAATGAATTGGAATAATAATAACCATTTAGACAGCAATCATATCCTTGATCATTTGGAGCTATATAAATTTATTATAACCACTCAATTAGAACAATTAAATTCAAAAATAAATGCAAAAAAAAATCGAAAAATTGAATCCACTAACGAAGTTTGCTCGCAATAAAAAAATCTTCTCGTTTAAGGCCAAATGAAGTATCATCAATCAATTTTTTGATAGTTTTTCCAATCGGTTCTTCATTATTATATCCAATTGCTGAATCTATAATATAGATAAATAGGATAAATATTTTGTTCTCCATAAACATATATGTAATATACATATATACCGATAAGTCTATATCCAGATGCAACAGCACTTCTTACGGCTTTATCAACATCACATTTTTTCAGTCGGTACGTACCCACTAATTAAAACCAGAGAACAAAAGGCATTAATATATATACAATATTGATATAATTTATGTATAGACAAATAGATAATTACGCCCAAGCGCGGGAATTTTTACTCCATTGTTAAGAACAAAATTCGGGATTGTAGACATTTTTAATGTATTTCGTCATGAATGTTATAGATTATATACTTGTTGGGTGATCATCACCATCCGCGACAAAATCATGTGACTAGATTTAAATTATACTTTCAGAACATGTTCATGATGTTTTATCGATCATTTTCTTAATTTCAGTCATGTAATTCCGATATTAAGCACCCTTTTTCTTTTCGTTATAACAAAATTGTAAATGAACTTGTTTATGAGTTATGGGGTGCTTATTTTCGGTATACGATGTTGGAACGATGTAACGATGTAACGATGTAATTAGAACATCCGGAAGCACAACATTCCTGATAAATTATTTTATAAGATGATATTTACTGGGAATTGTTTTTATAAAAAAAATATTTCTTTTTTAATGGAATCCTGTAAGGAATCCTTTACCAAATATTTCAAATATTTTATAACTGGTGTTGTTTTTGTTGGTTCATTTCAATGTAATTTATTATATCTTGCAAATTATCCAGAAGGTTCAAGACAATATGTAAGAATTTCTATAAATTATTTAATGCGAATTTTTTAATTAACAAACTGAAAACTTTACTTAAGGTTCCAAAACCATCGGAACATTGTCTACCATTCAAAGAGGAAATACTGACTACATCCGATAGTGTTAAAATTCGATTATATGTCATACAGCAAGAAAACAACGCAAGTAAAAGACCAACGATATTATATTGTCACGTGAGTCATTAATTTTATTTCTTCTGTATCAATAGGACCACTAATAAAATAATTCAAAAAATTATCCTTTAGGGAAATGCAGGGAATATGGTAAAATGTTTCAAGGTGGATAATTTAATTTAACGATATTGAAGTACTTATTTTTTAATATTTATATGTAGGGGCATTGTTTGCCAGTTGCGGAGCGATTGTATAATCAACTCAGATGTAATATAGTTATGCTTTCATATAGAGGGTATGGGGTACAAATATTTATTTATTTGTATTACAATTATAATTATGATTAAAATATTTTGAATCTTATAATCAGATATGGCTTTAGTGAAGGTTCTCCCTCAGAGAAAGGACTTAAAATAGACGCTCAAGTAAGTCATTTGCACTTATTCGTTTTATACTTGTGTAGATTCTTATAATTACAAGGTATTTAATTTAATTCTTTTAGACTGCGTTAGACTATATTAAAGGACATGAAGTATTTCAACACACAAAAGTAATAGTGTATGGTCAGTCTCTCGGAGGCGCGGTATCGATTGATTTAGTATCGAAAAATGAAGATAAAGTTTGTTTTTTTTATTTATTACAAATATTATTTGGTATGATTATTTGTTTGTTAAATTTATTATTTATAATTTGTTGAATGTTTAATAGGTTTCAGGTCTTATAGTTGAAAATACTTTTCTTAGCATTGTAAGTTAAATCGCAAATTAAGAAGAATTAAGTGTGTGTTTACTGTAATGTTAAATTCTCTAATTATTATTTAATATTCTTAGCCAAAATTAGTACCTCATGTCATTCCACCACTTCGTTATTTTACATTTTTTTGTACACAAAAATGGGAATCAGAAAAAGCCATTCAGAATTTAAAACATATTCCAATATTGTTTCTTTTTGGTGAATGTGATGAACTTATTCCAAAAGAACATTGTAATCGATTATATGAATTAGCTAATACTGAAGGTGGGAAAGATATACAATCATTTGAATTTGGAACACATGCGGACACTGTTGCACAGCCGGATTATTTCGATTCAATCGGTAGATTTTTATCAAAAAAAATAATTTCGTAGGATCATGTTAATGTGTTAAAGATACCATTAAGTTATTATTATCATTTTTATTTTATTTAGTTTATTTTATTTTTTTGTATATAATTAATTATATACATTCCGTTAATAACTTGATAATGCTATTATAGATAATTTTATTATATAATAAATTAATTTTAACCTTTTGTACCTTTTGTATACTAGTTTTCCTTAAAATAAAAAAATTGTGACGCGTATATAACGCGAAAATCATGAAAATCATGTGAGAGTCGAGAGTCGCACAAAAATAATATAAATAGTATGGAGGATTTCTGAAATAATTTTTACACCTAGTTTTTTTAATATATTAGAAGAATAATGGGAATAGGTAGAAATTTCGCGGTCGTTTGTGCAAGTAACCAAAATCGTAGCATGGAAGCACATCATGTCCTTACGTAATTTGCTATTTCAAAAAATTGTTTCATTTATTTAAAGAATATTATCTAATTTTTTTTTATGCTTAAAGTAAATGTGGTTTTAAGGTAAAATCATATGGTACAGGTTCAGCGGTTAGACTTCCTGGTCCGAGTCTCGATAGACCAAATATTTATCCTTTTGGAACACCATACGATTATATGTTTAAAGATTTACATGAAAAAGATGTTAAATTGTAAGTAATATGCCAAATGAATTTATTTTTGTAACATTATAACTTACTCGATTTTACTTAAAAAGGTATAAACAAAATGGATTATTAGATATGTTGGACAGAAACAGAAAGATTAAGCTCGCTCCCGAACAATGGTATACTGAAGCTAATGAGACTTTTGATGTGATCATAACTTGTGAAGAACGATGTTTTGATGCTATTTGTGAAGGTAAATAAAAAATATACATATTAATTGTTTTTTTTTTCGGAAATTTTCATTTAATATATTTAATATTTCTAGTTTAACAAAATTTTTGGATATAAAATTAGATCTAACAGATAGAGGAGAGCATAAGAATAGGCCTGTTCATATTATAAACATTGATATTAAGGACAATCATGAAGATGCAATGCTTGGCGGTCGTGCTATATTACAACTGGCTCAAATGGTATGTTTTATTTATTTACGATTCATTTTTTTTTTCTTGATATACATCGATTTTTTTTTTTTTTTTTTATGACATAAAAAATAAAAAAGGAAATATTAATTAATTTATATGTATTTTATCCTACCCGTGATTTTATTCGTAATAAAACAAATTCATTGAAAAATAAACAAATTGAAATTCTTGGAATTCTTGGAATTCTTTGGCGGTACTCATAATTTAGATTGACAATGAACAAGTAACGGATTTGGATGAAGCAATTCCGGGAATTTTACAAGAATGGCAAGAAAAATATAAATATGAAATTCTTCATTCCATCGCATATTTTTAATCATAAAAATTATTTATTACTAATATTTCTAAATGGGGTAATCATTTAATGGCCAAGGAATTTCCCTGTGTGCCAAGGTTATAAAATGTGTATCCTAAGAAAATTTTGGTACTACATTTCACGCTTCTGAGAATCTTTCATTTCTCTCCAAAAGGCAACATCATTTCCAAATTCGTCTTGTCATTGAAATATGCATTTTGTTTTATATAAGTAAGAGATTTTAACTGTGACAGAATTTACATTATAAATTATAAAACATTTTATAAATATAAAAGTCTCAGCTTATATATATATATATATATTTTTTTTTTTTTTTTTGTTCTGTAAAGGTGTGTTTACTATAAAACGTTATTTATTAAGAATAATATTTAAAAAAAACAAAGTTAAAGCTAATGAGACCTAATAAACATATGTAATTGAATTTTAAAATGTCAGCTAAGGTTATAAAGGATAAAAATACACCGAATATAAATTTTAAAAAGTTTAATTATATTATCAAACGAATAAAACGAATAAAGATGGGAATATTTGATATAAAATCAAAAACTATAGTCACTGATTATTTAGGTAATAATATTGTCGCTTTTTTTTCATCACATTACTTTTTTTTTTTTGATTTAAATTTTTATAAAATTTATAGAACAGTGTGTCAATAAAAATGATGATGATTGGAATTTAATCATCAATACATGTGATGCGGTAAATGCAACAGAAAACGGAGCAAAGGAAGCAACGAAATTCATTAGAAAGAAGATTTCAAAATCAGGAAACGTTCAACTTCGAACATTAACTGTAAGTAAACACTTTGATCTATGATTTTATTTATTAAATTAAATTAATTTTAAATATAATTATTAATTTAGGTGCTAAAAGCCATGACGGAAAATTGTGGAGCTAAATTTCACGCAGAGATTGCTAGCAAAAAATTTCTTGATGAAATAGAAATTGTAGCAATATCGCCGAACACGGATGATGATATAAAACAAAAAATAGTTACATTATTGGGTACTTTAACTGAAATGTTCAGGAATGAACCCAGTTTGTATCAAATATCTAATCTCTATTCAAAATTGACGGGAATTCGAGTTAGTTCAACTCAGGTATATTTTATATTTTAGATATAATTAACACTTTGGATGATTTATACATACTTATTATTATTATTATATTTAGAAATCTTCTCAATTATCAATCCAACAGAATAATATATCTAATGAAGTCGTAAGTAAAAATATATATATATATATATAATAATTTACTTATTTTCAGTAAATTAACCAAGTTAATAAAATATATCTAATAATTTTATTTATGTAGTCAACGAAAGTTAAAATTTCAGAAACAATTGAAATTTCGAAGAATAATATACAATTGTTCACACAAACGTTATCATTCACTGATCCTGAGAAAGAAGATATTACCAAAAATGAATTGATTCAGGAATTTTATACAAAATGCAAATCTTTACATCAAAGCATTATGAATTATTTATCTGAAATTCAAGATGAACAATGGATAGATACTCTTCTTGCGCTTAATCAGGATTTTGTGAATTCATTTAAAATGTATGAGGATATGATTGAAAGAGGACAAGTAAAAATAGCAAAACACGAATCACAGGTAACAATTAATCTTTTAGTTTTAGTGTTTTTGTTTTAATGAAATAAATTTTATTTTATAAACGATTGTATTGATCATTAATTTCTTTAAAACAAAAAAGAAACAATCATTTAGGGGATCACATTTGAATAATTTAGATTTCGATGATGCTGGAGTCGGGAGTTCATCCTCGTATAATCCATTTGAGGACTCAAACGAGGTGGAATATGATCCCGTAGTTTCAGGCCCAAGTGCGAAAGCATTAGGGTGAGTTATTATAACTTAGTACAATATTATAAAATTAATTAATAATATTAAATTTATTTTATTAGTAAAATGCCCGCATCCAGATTTTATGATTCGACACCGAACCGTAATTCAAGCAATAATAATAACAATAATTATTCATCTTCGTACAATGAAAATCAAAATAAAACTTCATCAATATTTAGTGAAACTCAAAAAGTGCCTGCATCCTTGTATAACGATACCACATTATTTGATGAGGATGAACCCTCTTCAGAGAGTCAACAACAATATTCTAATATAGATGCACCTTTAGAACCAGCTCGACCTCCAAATGGTAGTAATAATATTAATGGAAGGCATGAACATATCGTAATTTAATATATATATCATATATATATATATATATATTATATTTATTATTTATTTATTAGATGTATTTATTATCTGCTATATCAAACTATAAATGATATAATGATATAAAGCAAAATAAATTATTTATATGCAAAGTTGCGCGTGTTTCATACAATTACTTGATCACGAGATTATTACTGCAATGACATGTGTTATTGCTAAATATGCTATAATGATGTTAATAATAGCTATATGTGCTTATACATCATATATTTTAAGAAGTTTAGAAAATCGAATGTGAGCATCAATTTCCAAAAAATAATTCCTATTTAAAATAAAACGATTAATTAAAAATTAATTAATAATTTGTCGATCAAAATTTTACATTTAGGATCATATAAAGTTAAATTGATCCACTTGATCTTTAACAACACTGGAGATGGATAGTACATATAATATCTCGTGGTTGCTAACCTTTTGTTTACTAATATAAGGAATTTGATATAGGAATTTTTGAGACATGTGTAACGGATCTCTTATAATTAGTATTCTCAACAGGAAATCGGCCGATCTACTGCATATTAAAATTGTCTTATTATCCATACTTTGGAAGATCCAAAAAAAATCAATAAAAACTGAGAATTTACCTCTTTTTCAATTAACTTTTTTGTTTATTATTTTACGCTCACTTTTCCACTTTATTAATACATGTAAAGACCGTATTTTATTTATTTAAGCATTCGATTTTTACATTCTTTGATATAAAATACTATTTTGATATTATATGTATTGTTTATAAATTTATTTATTTTATTTTCGCATCTCAACAAAACAATAAATTTTTTTTTTTAAAAAAAAAAACTTTAAAAAAAAATTTCAACAAAACAATAAATTTTTTAAAAAATAAAAAATTTATTAAATTAAAATGACAGAAGTTTATAATACTGAACAAATCGGTCAAAATGATTATCATTATGAAGAATACGTTGAACGATTAAGTGAAGGAGATTCTTCAATTTCATTTGACCCTAGTAAAACAACACCACAATATCATATTCAACAAGCTGAAACGGCCTTACAAAATATAAAATCTCTTGTAAAAGAATCGGGATGGAAAAAAATTTCACACCATAAAAGTGGAGTTTTGGTTCAAAGTAAATCTGGAAGTTCAAATGATAAATTACCAATTTTTATGGGTGAACATATAATTGATGGTTTCACCCCTCAATCTATCTTTGCGGTTATTGGAATGAGAAAACTTTGGGATGAGTGGTAAATATTTTTAGATTATTATTAAATTATTAAAGAAACCAAAAAAAGCAAATAAGTTAATAACCAAAATTCGGGAGTTCATCTCTTCTGATTGGTTTCCAGAATCTAGGTCCAGATGTGCTAATCATGTTTACTAAATTAGGTATGAAGAAGGCAATCTCATTGAAAATTTAGATGAAACGACAAGCTTAACTTATATGGTTATGCAAGCGTTGGCTGGTTCCAAGTAACTAAACGCGTTATTTTTTTTTTTGCGGTGAAATAAAATCGCGTATATATATATTAATTTTTCTTTTTTTCTTTTTTTTAAAGACCTAGAGATTTGTCCTTAGTTGAAAAGATCGAATGCACTCAAAGTGGATCGATATATTTTGTATCTACCTCTGTTGAGACTCCAAAAGTACCTTGTGTTTCTAATAAAATCCGAGCTCATATTGTTCTTAATGGATGGGTTCTTGAGCCTCTCTCTTACGATCCACCACGAACAAAAGCTACTTATGTTCTTCAAATCAAAGTTAAAGGTTGGGTTCCGTCAATACTTTCTAAAACATATTTGGCGAAACGTCCCCTTGTCCTTTATACTATTGAACAATATTTACGTAAAAACGGACCTCCACAAATGGTAATAAGCAGCCCCACAGAATCTACTTTTAGCGACATCTCGGTAAATAAAACTAACACAATACAAAGGTTAGGATAATTATGTATAAGTATATATACAAATTTGTATAAAATTTATTAATTAAATTTTGTTATAGTAATAATGCGAGTTTAAAATACCCAAGAAAGAAAATGTCAATTTCTTATTTAAACGGAAGAAATTCGTCAACCTCAACTTCTCCAACTTCTCCAACTTCTCCAGCTTCTCCAGCTTCTTCAATTTTTCCCACTTCTCCCACTTCTCCCATTGGTACTACTAGAGAAATTCAAAATGATTCAACGCCATCGCCCGCTTCTCTTACACAGCTACATTCTGCGACAATAAATTTATCTCGACCGAAAAGCCCCACAAAAATGACACAACATCGTCATACAGAATCTGTACAAAAAGCTTTTGAAATGTTCAAGTCACACCTTCCAATGGACGATTGGAATCTTTATTCTGAAGATAAAGGTTTAAAAATTTACATGAAGGAATTTGTTGGTAAATCCACGCCCATCATGCGTGGAGATGGCGTCATTTCTGGTGGATTTACAACTTATGACATTTTATCAGTTATTAAAAACTTAGATATGCGTAAATTATGTAAGTTTTTTTATATTTTGTATACATAACTTAGAATATCATTTATTAATTAATATTTATTTTTATAACAGGGGACGATCGATATGATGAAGGTGCAATTTATGAAATGTTTAGTTTACATGAACGTTTAGCAAGAACATCAATGAAAGGAACATTCCCAATTAGGCAAGTTAAGTTTTACAAGAAATTACCGTCATTTCATTAATTTATTTACACACATTAATTTTACAAAATAGTGGACGTGATATGTCAGTATGTGAAATGTTAGATCATGAAGAGGATACGGGAATTCTTCAATTCGTTTCTACATCTGTTGTTGACCAATTAATTCCGGAAAGCAAAAAAATTGTTCGAGCAAATTTGGACTTTGCGGGATGGCGATTAAAACCACATTTTGATTCTGAAGGAAACACTACTTCGGTTGATACAACATACATCGTCGATGTCGATGTTAAACTTGACACAATTCCATCATCTATTCGTAAGACTCTATCAGTTCAAATACCCATGATTGTTTCAAAATTAGATGAATTAATGCAAAAAATGGGATTTCCTCCATATATTGTTAACTCTACTACAAAGGTTATAAAAGAAGAATTTAATATTAAAAATCATCAATATGACTTGTCATTGATTGCTGAAGGGAGTGGAGTAACAGAATTCAAAATATCAAGACTGATGTATCCAAACGGTCTTGACATATCCACCATACCGGAAAATTGTAAGGTTGAGCTGCTATCAGAAAGTTCAGAAACTATTCGAGTAACTCTTCCTCAAAGAGTTGATTTAGATAATTTAATGATTACAATCAGTAAACATTCTACTAAGGATTTCCAAATAACTCACAATCATGAAAAAACAATTCCATTAGTTTCAAATTCTACAATCGATGTAAAACAGTTTAAAAATACTAAAGATGGCACGACATCTACTAATACCACGCTTGTTGAAAACGGAACTATCGATGGTCATTTAATAAAAATTTTATCTGGCCCACAAAAACACAAGTTGAACACAAGGAGCATAGTTACTCCTGAAATTTTTAAGCTATCAGAAGGTAAAAAAAAGATTAGTCTTTTAAAGCTAATCTGCGAGAAATCGATATGTCGATAATTTGGTGATAAATTACTTAACTGAAAGAATTATTTAAAAATGGTCTTCACCTGTCGTTAATGAAAATATATAAACAAGTAATTTAATATAATATCCCCTTCTTATCCGTAGAAATATAATAAGATATCAATCATACCTTACAGATTGAGAATGTATATATATATATATATATATTTTTTTTTTTTTTTAAAAAAAAAAAAAAAAAAATAATAATAATAATAATAATAAACTCAATTTTGTATGGTAAATATTTAATATCTGTTATCTTTCCACACAACGAAATGATTGATGATCGATTTCTCGTGGATTAGTTAGCTCCTTATTTCGCATATTGCATAATAAATATATATATATATATTTTCTAGTATCGTTAAAGAGTGAACCACATCAAAGAATGTTAGATAGGCAAACTTTACTTGAAAATAAGGTAATTATTAATTTTATTCAAAATAATATCGATTGTAAAGTTATAATTTATTTTAACATAATTCTTCACATAAAATAGATCGCAGCGGTAACTCGATTATCACGCGAAGTTCAAAACGTTTCAGATCCGTCGGAAGTTGCACCAAAAACATCCGAAACACTCGAAACACTCAAAACCGAAGAAGGCCAACTAAATAATAGAGTTATTGAAAATACTCAAGATTTAGTAGATATCACGGATTCGGTTCGTTTTAATTCACAACAAGTCGGAATAATTTTTGCTTCAATGTTGCTTGCATACTATGCAGGAAAGTTGAGTATTTAATAAGGAATGATGAAATAGAGAAAAAGGTTAAATTTCGTGTTGATAATGTTAATGTTTTATTATTTTTATTTTTATTTTTTATTTTTGTAATTTATTGTACATTTAGAATTATTTTATACACTAATTTAATATACAAAATTTTTTGGAAAATAATCACGCGAGTGTGGTCACGTGTTGTGGCTTGTTTGAAATTTGCAGATTAAGCAAAAAAAACAAATTCCACTTAAATACTAACAAGTATAAGCTTACTTTTTTTTTCCGATAAAACGTTTTATTTCTGAGTTATTTTTTCTTGAAAAATCTTATATAAAATGTTGTTTAAAGGAAAAATATTTGTTGAAGATGCGCTCATGTGCAGTTAACTTTATACGATCACTAGAATCTCCAGATTTTATTATAGTTTAAAATTTGAAACAATAGGTGATATGGTTTAAAGCCCAATGAAAATCGACTAAAATATGATACAAATGCCGCAATAAATATTATAAATTAATATTAGGCAGAATTTTATGACAATGACTAATAATTTGGTTGAAAAACTATTGCAAACAAATAATAATAGTTTCTAGGAATATTAATTAAAAAGTATATTATATTAATATGAAAAAAAATTTTATTTGCTCGCTAATACTAACAATTGAAACTAAGAAGCTGTTGGCTAATTAAAAAATAAACATTAACAGAACGTGAAAAGTTTTATTCCCAAAAAAAGGTATAAACCAATAAAATTAAGTTTTGAGGAAATTATCGGGGTAAAGAGAGAGAGAATAAATTTTTAAATGTATATGGTTTAAATCTCATTTTATTGTACTTTTAAATAAATCAAACTACTATTTGTAAATATAATCACCGGTTATTGAGTAAATTCACTTTAAATAATTTGCTCACCAATGTATTTTAAATCCAATTTAAATGTAGATAATGAGCGATTAATTACAATTTTAATTATTATATTGGTTACAGTACATTACGCCGAAAGCCATCCCAAGTGTCCCGTATATTTTGAATTTCGCTGTAACATTTTTATAAAAATATTTGAAATATTATTTTTAGAGATCCTTTTTTTCCAGGATATTAGGATATTATCACTTTAACATTCAGGTAATTGATATTAATTGTTGAGCAATAAATAAATAACTTTATTTTCCTGAAAACATTTAATCACGTAAAAAAAAGATCGATAAATTTAATAAAAATCATCTAGCTAATTCAAAATTCTTCTAGAAAAGATTTCTTTATGTACTATTTAGTATAAAAATGATAAGGAATAAATAATTTTTCGGCTAAATGTCAATTCGGTAAATTGGTTTTGGCGAAATGGAATTCGATGAAATGGGATTTTGGCGAAACGTACTTTCGATAGAATGTCCATTCGGCGAAATGGCTTCGGCGTAATGTCCTGATATATCCATTACTACCTAGCGATAATATATAAGTATTGTATTGAGAATTGAGATCACTGAGATATGCGGACTGTGGAGAGTGTCAAAATCGTGTAGCACAAATTATTTTATGTTATATGGTTTTACCACCATTTGATGCGTTATGACTTACGATGAAGCGTCGTCCTTTAATGAACACGAGATGAAAATTATTTTAATTAAACCAAACTGAATTGAATTTATCTTTTTGTTTTAATTTTTGGATTCCACTGAATTCCAAAAAATTAACCTTAAAAGCCTTAAAATTATTTATTCCTAATAATAAAATCGGGTAAAACTTTGAATTATGTGAAATTTATTACATAATTTAAGATAAATTAAAATTTGAATGTTTGACTAGTAACTAAATTAACCAATTATATTGAATCAAGTTAAACCTTTACCTCAACTTTATCATTTGTTTTAAGAAATTGAATTCAAAAATCTTGATAAAAATTAACAGAATAATTATAATTAGTAAGGATCAGTATATTACAATTAACTATCCTTTTTAATAAGAGGTGTACATTAAATACTAAAGAAATAATTGCAAATATCAAATAAAAAATACCCATAAGTGTTTCAATCTTATATTGATTCACATTGAACAATACTAACATTATTTTTATCATTATCATTATTAGATTGTTGTGTTCGTGCTTGACATTGTTGATTTATAATTATTCTGATAAGGATAAGTGATATCCTTCCTGCTGAAAATATGATTACTGCCTTATAAAATGGAAATATTTCTTATCAACAATTTGTTTTTTATAACCATAAGAAGAATTAAAAAATCAATTAAAAAGTCATCGAAATCTTAACTTGAGATACATCATCTTGAATACATACCAATTATGATAGAATTTAACCACAATATAAAAAGTAGATAGTCATACTGTATGAAAACAAATTTTAAAGGCAGTCACAGTGATACGATTACACTATCTGCCGATGCATGTGATAATTTTGGCGCTGCTTTTATATTCTGCAGATCGGCGGATACCCAAATTTAGATAAATGATAAGAGAAGTCATAATTGAAGATATGGTATTTATTATATGGTATAAGTTTTATGAAAAGTACCTGAAATTTATAGAAAAACAATCTTGAAAAAATTATTTCATTTCAGCCTCTCAGTTCAATAGAATTTCCAAAGTTTCAGCTTAACATATATGTATACATCTAGGATAATATAGAAAGTCAAATTCCTATGCACATCTCTGCTTGTATTGAAACAACGTCTTTAGTAAATTCCAAAAATTAAATAGTTTTTGAATACCGAGGACTCCAAGCAAAGGTAAAATAACGTGTAGATCCTTCCTTTGTGGATAATGCCAGGCGGCATTATGTCTGGCCCTGGAGATGTAGTAAATGAGTGTCGATCTCTTGTTACAATTGCCCGGGGTCCTAATTACCGTAACTAAATTTTAAGTGTAGATTCTTCAGAATTGCTTTTTTTTAAGGTGTAGATTTTCAAGTATTTGACGATTAGTCAATACCCACATATGATTTGATTTTGATTATCATTTATTATATTTTATATGATTTTAAAAAAAAGGAAATATGCAATAACCCCTATTTGTGCTACTACAAAGGTTCCATGCAATGCTAAGCAAATTTGTTAATAAACAAAGAAAACTCTGAAAATTCCCGAATTTAACTCTGAAAATATTACAAAGGACTGATGATAATTGGTTACAGCCTCATTTTTTTTTCGTATTACATTAAATTTTCAATTATAAGGTTACACGTAATTAATCATAATCATCAATTTTAAATAAAAAATAATTATATAATTTTGTATAACAAAACAAAAACCCCAGGAGGTGAACCCGAATGTATAAAGGTTTCTTATTTCTTTTTTTGTTTTCTGATTTTTTTTTAAAAAAAATTGAACTGATAAATTGGTACAATACTATATAATCCTTTATTATCCCTTTCTTTTTATAAAAAGAAAAAAAATAAATAAATCAAATCAATATAATATTTATATATCATGCATCAATCTACATCAACAGTATCTCCTTATGTTCCAATTAAATCATCATCAAATTCTTCAAAAAAACGAAATACACGTTCTGTAACATTATTACCTCCAACTATTATAAATACTATTAATAAAAAAACTCAAAAAAAGTTCATTTTAGAATTTTCAATTCATTTAGCTTCTAGTAGATTCGCTAGAGAACTTAAAAGCGTTTTTCCTCAAGTAGAATACATTGAAAGATGTCTCGTGGTACCTACATTTTTAAAATGTACACATGATTTGGTTGGTATCGGTGCTGCAATTGATAATGAAAAAGATGAAAAACTTGAAGATGTAAGTAAATCATTTTTTTAAGAAAAAAAATAAGTAAATAAAAGTGAATATTAAATGGTTTATTTATTTATTTATTTTTTTAATTACTGTAAGTTCGTTGGATGGGGAAAAGAGATTTGTCAAAAGTTGAGAGATCGTGGATATTGGGCTGATTTAACTGATCCTTGTTCTGGATATCCGGTAAATATGAAATATAAATATGTATATAACCAACAAATAGTTTCGTTTAACATCACATGACACAAGAAATTATGGGGAGATCATAATAAAATTTTAAACATACAAAAAATATGTGACTAATAAAGCTAATTGGCTAATAATATTTAATACAAAGTGTTTGTTTAAATCCAATTTTTTGGCAAAAATGAGGGGATTGATGTTAAACGAAACTATTTATTTATTGGAGCGGCCTAAAATATAATATATAGAATTATGTCTTACGTTTTAACTTAATTCTTTAGATATTCTCTGAACGTGGACCATCAATTTACCCGGATGTTCAAGGTGCAGTTGAATTACTGAAATATGACCTTCATAATGCAGGATGTTGTCACATTCTATTACATCCGAAATGGGGAAGTAAAGTTTATCCCGGAACTTTATTCACGACTGCTAGTGATTTAGAACTTAAACAAGTAATTTCTGAGACCATCGTTTCAGAATCTGAATCTTAAAAAAAAAAACTTTAATACATAGATTAGGACCCTTTTTTAAATTATTTATGTGGCGTAGTAAAAATTTGCAATACTAATAAAAAATAGATTTAAGTATAAACTGTATATATGTTTTAATACATATATTTCTTAAATTTATTAAAGGATCTAGAATTAATAAAAAGAATAATATAACATAGACTTACACATACGAAAAAAAGAAGAAAAATATTCAACTACCCTTCTTTTTAAAATACTTTGTAATGCATAATTTTGTTCATTATACTTTACTCTAAAATGTCTAAATATGATATTAATAACATTAATAAATTCTATACTGCTTATAATTTAATATCAACATCGCCATTATCAGTGATAATCTTTAGATCTCCACCATTATTAATACTAGTTGCACCAACAACTTGATTTCCAAACCTGGTGTTATCTATTTGAATAGAACCATCATTTGTTCGAATGCTGTAATTTCCTGAGAATGAATTTCCATCCTGTTAAAAAAATAAAAAAAATAAATAAATATAAAATTAAGAGAAAAAAAAATTGACAATAATACACACACATATTTTTCACTTACAAATTTTAATTCAACATCTCCATCGTCAGTGGTAATTGTGAATTTTGAAGTAAAAGGGGTTTGAGCATTTCCCAAAATTAAACTCAAATCACCGTCGTCAGTTAAAATATTAAGTTCATTTGAAATAGATGTTATTGAACCTACAATATCTCCATCGTCAGTTCGAATATTTAAGGTTTGCGCCCTAATGCCGTTTAACTTTACATCTCCATCAGATGTGATTAAATTGATGTCTTGTTGATATGGTATATCATTTCCCACCATTGTAATATCCTGGTTTTTGACTTGAATCGTATTTGGAGCTAAGGTTCCTCCAATTTGTTGTGGTAAGTATACATTAATTTGCGATTTCATGCAACGTGGTGGAATGTTGAATATACTAAATCCTATTTGAGAAATTTTCAATTCAAAAATTCCACCACCTATAGACGATGATTCAATTTTAGGAGTTATTCCGGTTGCTCCGGTATATACTTCAATATCAACAGTTTTACCGTCTCCATTAACATTTTGTTGAAAAATTCTAATTTCACCACGCTAATTAAAAAAAAAATGTATGTTAGATTTTGGAATAAATTCATATTATTATAATTTTTTTTTTGTACATACTCTAACTCGAGCCTCATCTGTATTAACTCGGAAAATTGTACTGGTACTGGTATCAAAACTAAATCTTTCCGGATTTGCTCCTAAACTTATGTTATTGCATGCATTGTTATTTATTATTGAAAGAACCTAAAAAAAAAAAATACAAATTAAAATATTAACATAAAATGCGTAGTATGCGCAGTAAGGAAAAAAAAAACCATATTTACTCCTAGAATAATGAATATAATCAAAACGATCATCCAGCCGCAATTGCAAGTCTTATTTCTTTTCGAATTTCCGGCACAGCAGCATGCAGCTCTACGCCCTAAATAAAATAAATGATTTATATAATTAATATAATCATTTTTTAAAATAATAACATTCATAACAATTAGATAATTCATACCCCTTCTTTCACTATGTACAATTGTAGAGTAGTTATTTTCACCAACTGGCATTTCCGATGCTTGAAATGGAGGGGGAGGATATGATGGATAGTCAAAACCTGCTTGAGTAGGTTGTGGTCTTTCTATCTCATTGTAAGCTGGTGGTGGAATAGCTGTCGCTGTGCCTTCTTCTAAGATTTTTGAAATATCGTTATTCTTTTCATTATTATTTTGATTCTCATTATCATTGTTATTATTATTGCTGTTATTGTTATTCTCTTCCGTTAAATATGGTGAGAACGGATTATTCGGATTATTTGGATTCGACATTTTTTTTTTTTTTTTTTTTTAATAAATAAATATATATTTTATTTATTTAAAAAAAATGTGAAATTTCGATTTTAAAGGGTTTAATTGTCTTTATATAGTTTTTTAAGACAATCAATCACAAATTACAAATAAATTTAATTAGTATTTCCAAAATTGGCATAGACCGTATAAACGTAAACTCATAACGTGATTGTAAAAAAAAAAAGTTTTCTAGATAGAAATTATTTCATTTTGTAATAAAAAAAAATTATTTATAAATCTGCTATCACTATCAGGCTCCGAAATTTACTCCTTTTATTTTGATATGACTATATATATATAGTTCACTGTGTAATGTGTATATTACATCGCATTACTGTACCACTGTACCCTAATACTACGTTTAATGGATTAAATGTTTTAACATGACCGATTTTTAAGTGTAACAAACTTGCCAAGAGATTTCTGCGCCTCATCCAATAAAAAGTATTTTCAATAAATTCAAAAAGTTATACTAACTCAGTTTTGTGTTTGTGTGATCCAATTAGTATTGAAAGTGAATTAGAAAGGTTATTTTTATATTGTACTAATATCATTTTATTATTAGTTTCATTATACAATAAATATTTCAATGCATTTTATTACAGATGAAAAAAAAAAGGCATATAAAAATATACATGGATAAAAATGGCTAAGATGTTAAATAAAAATTCGATAAAGTTTTTTTTAAATTCTATTATAGTTAATTAAATAGTTATTGTTGAAACTTGTGGTGTATTTTTTAATGTTTCTACAACTTTAAGGCTTTTTATCTTATCATTTTCGACTTCTACATCTGTGCTATCACTATCTTCTTCACTTGTTACTTCATTCTTATTTTCTTCAGATTTTATTGTTTTCTCTTTCTTAATTTCTTCTTTCTTTATTATTTCTTCCTCTTTCTTGATTTCTTCTTTCTTTATTATTTCTTCTTCTTTCTTTATAATTTCTTCCTCTTTCTTAATTTCTTCTTTCTTTATTATTTCTTCCTCTTTCTTAATTTCTTCTTCCTTCTTTATTATTTCTTCTTCTTTCTTTTCCTCTTTATTAGCTTCTATTTTGTTTTCGTCTTTGTTTTCATCCTTAATTTCTTCTTTCTTCTTGTTTTCGTCTTTGACTTCTTCTTTAACTTCTTTGTTTTCTTCTTTGATTTCCTCTTTATTTTCATCTTTAACTTCCTCTTTATTTTCATTTTTAGCTTCTTCCTTCTTCTCTTCCGATTCGGGTATTTCACTAAGACGTTTGGCTTCTTCTTCCATTTGTTTTGCAATATCTTCAGGTTTCATATTTTTGTATTTTGCAACTAATTCATAAATTTTTTCTGGAATAAGTTCAATTTCATTACGATACAAGACCATAGTCATCATAACTTCACAAGGAGGTAATAATCCTTCAGGAATTTTTTCAAGAATCTCTTTAGGGAATTCAGCTTCGGGATTTTCAGCAACACTTTTATACATTTTTCTAATTTGATAATGAGTACAATAACCAAGATCAAGATGTACATCCATACGACCAGGACGAACACAAGCAGGATCAAGATGTTCAACGTGATTTGTTGTCATTATAATGATAATTCCTTCGGATAAAATATTACCATCTAAACATCCTAAGAAAGTTGATAAACTAAATTTTGAAAAACCTGATGGCACACTTGGACCAATTTCTTCTTTGTTACCAGTAGACTCTATGGCAGTTATTAATGAATAATCTTTTCTTGTTCTTTTATGAAGAACTTTTGATTGAGTATCAACATCTTCAAGCACAATAATTTGATTAGCAGGAACCGAACTAAATGCGGCACTTAATTCATTATCATCCGAAATGGTTTTAAGATTTAAATAATAAATATCACGAGCTAATTGTGATGAAATTGCATTTATTAAACTAGTTTTTCCCGTTCCAGGTTTTCCATATAATAAAATACCACGTCGATAAGGCATTCCAATTCTTTGATAAAATTCTTTATCATTTACGAATGTTTCTAATTCTTTTTTCAATAATTTTTCATAAGTTTCATCTAATGCTACGGTGTCTAAACCTCTAATTGAAGATAATGATTGCACGTGATACCAATAAGAACCATTACGTTCATACCTTGAACGAACTTTATCTTTTTTCTGACTTTCCAAATAAGATCTTGTAACTTCATTTAAAAAATCGTTCATAGCTTCAACATTTGTAGCTGACTCTTCAACAATTGTTATAAAAATTGAAGGTTTTGGTTTATTTCTGCTATAACTTCTATTATTATTATTTTCATCTTTCTTTTCTTGATCGGCGGGCATATTAAATGAAACTTCAAATTTTTTTTCCTTATATTCAATCGTAATTTGTTGATCTTTTTCTGGAAGTATATTAAATTTTGGAGGAGCACAATCATCATCATCATCATCATTATGACTTGAAGTTGCATGTTGTATAATAAAAGAACCTTTTTCTAAATGTTTTGTTTGTTGAGAAATTAACCAAGATAAGGCTTCATAAAATATACTAGCATACAAATCACCATAAGTTCCTTCAGTATAATATTCAACTTGAACCGTGACACTACCATCCTTTTTAAAAGGATTACCAAAAGTAAAGGTTGTAATAAATTTATGTAATGCGAGAACAAAAGCAGAAATTCCGGATGCAATGGCACTTGTTATAAACATATCAACTGCCATTATTCCGGTCATATAAGGACTAAATTTTATTGGAAGCCATGCTAAAAGAATAGTATGTATCTGTGATTGAGTGAATAAATCAACAAAAGGTTGAAAAATTTCAGAATATTCAGACATTATTTTAAATAAATATTTAAATATTAAAAAAAAAATAATGATTATTTGAAAAAAAGAATTAAAAGAATTGTTTAATTCAAAGAAATGATTTGTTTTTTTTTATTCCTAAGGAATGGAAAAAAAAAAAAATTTTTTGAGGACTTTTCCCTCATTTAAATAAAATTATTAGTTATCCGCAGGAAGTAATAATTTTTTGTTTTCATGCAGTTTTGTAATCGGAAGTGACTTCCGATATACTGCGTCTCACACAATGTGGCGAATAAATATCTGTAATGACTAATTTAGTAAAGTAGTGAAAATCTCATTATTCTAATCAGAAAAAAATTCACCAAATATGGAAATGATGAACGAATGAAATCATAGTCAAAACAATAGATAAATTAATTATTCTTAGGAATTTTCTATGCGCCGTAATAATAAACAAAAAAATTCGAAGAAAAAATAACCACAAGCCAGTAAAGCCCAGTCAAGCCACCATTACACTACACTTTTAAGTGGCTTCTATATGAATTTCTAAAAACCTAGAAACTTCTTTTTTTCTTGTGACTAATCTTGTATCGTACTGTGATTAATTAAACTTTATTTTTGTCAAGCCACAAATATTTTAGTTTAAGTTATTTAAAGTTAAGCAAGTTTTTGAATTTTTTGAATTACGCCTAATAAAGTGTTTAAAAAAAAAAATATTAGATTGTGATCCGTAGTCAGTGTTCAAAATTCAAAAGGAAACCTATGTGTACAATGTGCGCTATTATATGCCATAGTTTGTGAGCGAATTTTGCGGAGCGCACAATTCCGCACATCCAATTTTGAACACTGGCCGTAGTTACTGAGGTAGTTGTAGTTGGCGACTCGACTGCGGGTTGTGTTGGTAAAACATAAATAATAAATTATTTGTATGATAAACAATTTCCTTTTAAAAATCCTTTAAAAAGAAATCGTGACATATATCGGAATTAAATCCTATCAAAGATCGGAGATGAATATTCAAAATATAAGAGTATTGATTCGTCGACCGCCACGAAAAATTGTTCTAAGACTTTTATGTAAAACAGTTACCCATATTAGATATTTTTTCTTGCCATGTGATTCAAAAACTTAATAATATTTTTTTTTTTTTAAAATTTTTCTTTGAAAAATTGATTTCTTAAAGTATTGTTTAAACTTTATAATTGATAATGTTCAATATTATATTTTCTTACTATTACTAATCATTGAATTTAACTAATTTAAAAGTCATATTTTTAAAGAAATTTCTACTAATAACTAACAAAAGTCCTATTTTCTTTTTTTTTTTTGAATGCAATTTGATTTATAGAAAGATGATGGGGTAATGATTATCGATGATGCAACTTGTATTGTATTTAGAGCAACTACTCGCTTTATAATGAAGTTTGGTGGTTTGTCCAATCAATCCTTCGTTATAAGAATATTCGTTAACATGATGTAAAGATCTGGTATTAGTGTACTTAGAAGATTTAGAATATTGTGGTGAATTGTAATTCGGTATAATATAAATTTAATTTAATTATTTTTATTAACATCTATACATTAAAGAAAAGTTAAAAGTAACTAATATATAGACGACCTTCATGTAGGATTAAAAGAGACTATTTATCACAAAAAGGGGAACGTCTAGACATATAACCACTACAGTACCCCCAATGAAACGTGTCTCAACTGCAACATGACAACAACTACCGACAATAAAATTCAAGTGAACTATATGACCAATAACTATATACAGTATATATAATTAACTACAACTACTACAACTTACAACTTTTAAGTGTCGTATAATAATTGTAATAATATAAATATTATATATAAACTAGTAATCTATTTTTTTTATGGATTAAATATTTGGTACGCTCAAAAATGGTAATTTTTTTTTACATAGGAATTTCTATGAATAAAGGAATTGAGTTGCTGCGTCATTGAAATCACATGATCATTCCGTTTAATTAGATGTATCTAATTTCTATGATTTTAAGAAGGTTACGTCCTAAAAAGAGCCGTGGACTTAAATTTCTTGTCCGGACTCAAAAGTACCTAAAGATCCCAAAATCAATAAAGGAATTATTAGTAGAATATGACATAGGGTCAAAAAAGTGAAGCTAAAGGAAAGGGAAAAAGAAAAAAAAAGTAATTCATATTTATAACAAAAAAAAGAGTATTAAAAATTTAAAAAAGGAAATAAAAGAAAAAAAATCCTTTTACCTATTCTCATAAAACCAATCTTTCCATTTTGATCAGAAAGGTAAACCAAAAAAACCAAGTAAAGGAGGAAAAAAAGTAAAATCAAATTAGTTTTATAGAAACTAATTACTAATAAAAATTTGATAATAAAAAGAAATTAAAAGAAAAGTGAAAATAAAAATAAACTATATTTCTACATTCTGAAAAAAAGCATTTTCAATAATAAAATATTTTTTCTTGAAATAACTCAAAATCCAATCAAAGCAATATGAGAAGTTACCTTCAAAATAGTATTAAAAGAAAAAAAATATAATACTAATTAAATAAAAAATAGAAAGCAAAATAATAAAAATAATTAAAAATATATAAAAAGAATAAAATAAATAATAATAGTCAAGTTGGATACTAAAGTTATTCTAAATTAATGTTTATCCAATTTGAAATTGAAGTAAATTTAAATTAGGGCTTAATTCTAATTTGCAAACAAAAGTTTTAACTTAAAATATCAAAGATATAAATTCATTAAAAATTCATTTATACAATAATATTATTTCTTTATTAAAATCATTAAATAGTATAAGTTTATTAAGCTATAATATAAATATATTTAAAATAATCTCTTGACTTTTTTTAAAGGAATATATTGTACTAATAATATATTCAATATATTCTAAATATTTGAAAAATAATTTAAAAATATTAAAATAAAAATTCTTTATATATTTTATAACTTTATCAGTATAGTATTTTATATACAGTATTTTATATCAAGAAAAAGTTTTTTTTAAAAATAACTAATCATATTATTAATAACTATTAAAATCCTTTTTATATATTTTTTATCTTTTTAATTTTAAGGAAACGATAAAAGCCAATTAGGCAGAAATTTTATGCTGGTGTAATTTTATTATAAGACTGGATAAAAGTGTGGATGAAATTATAATTAAAGAAAAGGTGAATATGAAAAAAGCCAAAAGACAGATTTATAATTTTATTCTTGCACACAATTCTACTAATACCAGACGAAATACTTTATATCAATGCATCAATAGAGTCAGAAAAATTTATAAGTTCATTGAAAAAATAGGAATTGATAAAATCAAGTACATCAAAACATATAGTGTGAATTCTATTGCAAAATTATCTGATAGTAAAATTCAAACTATTATTGATTATTTCCCTAAAAATCATAATACTGATTTATTAGGTGATCAAGATAACTCTATCATAGATTCTGAAGAGGAGATTTTGAATGATTAGACTAATGCATTGGAGGTGATTTCAGCTGGAGTAAACATATTAACTGCACCTATTCTTTTAACACATGTCTCTAATTCTTCAGATGATTTCTCAAAATTCAGTCCAGTTAATTTACCAAAAGCTGAGGATGATTTTGATAAAATGATTAAAGAAACTTTTAAAGAAGAAAAGACTAGAATAGAGAAAGAAAGACAGAATAAAGTATCATTAAATATAGTAACTTCAGCTAAGGTAAATGTTTATAATAAAGTGTACTTGATGATAAATTTGATCGTGATCTTTCAAATCCTATATTTCAGCCAGATAAAGGAACAAATGAAATTGAGACAGAAAATAATAACGACTGTAGTCATGATAGTGATTCTGAAGAAGATTTGGATGATGGATATAATGGATATAATGGATATAATGAATATGATGGATATGATAGAGATTATTATTATCATGATAGAAGATACGCAAGAAAGGTTTTACCAATAATGAGTCCTATTATCTTTCCGGTAATTGCTTAAGAGAATTATTATTACTTTGTTATTTTGTTACATCAGCCTTACATAACTTGATAAAAGTCAATTTTCATCTATTTCTCATTATATTGATTTTTAAAGTTACTTTTAAATCATTTTTTTTATTCTACTTTATATTAACTCCCTCTTAAATAAAATAAAGTAAGATGGACTTTTTTAAATTTTTTGATGAATACATAAAATGTGTTTCAGAAACCACATCTGAACAAATCAATGAAGCGTTTAAAATTAGTGGTAAGTTAAGTTGTATTATTATTTACTTGCCAAAAAACTCTCTATAGATTAATTTCAATATATAGATAAAAATTTGTCTTTCTTCTATGTGAAAATATACTGTATATCGGTATAACTTATTATAACCATATTTTTTAAAAGTTTTGACATATTCTTATAGTATAGAAATTTGACTGTATTCTTATCCAGTAACTAACTTTGCCTTTTTTGGTCTCTTAATCTAATTTAGATAAACATTAAGATAAGCCTTTGCGTTGTATTAAATTTGACGTGTAGCTGTCACATATCATTAATAAATAGACTTTTCGAACTAGATCCTATGCTCTGTACTAAAATAAAAAATTAGAAACTGAACAAAAAATAATTAAAGCAAAGATTAAAAATAATAAATCTCTAATTTTATTGAAAATTGGCCTCACAGAAATGCAAGAAACAATCACTTTTCTAAAACTTGAAATAAATATTATATATTGGAAATCCTATCAAGATACTGTGTCTACTGTGACTTTACCAGAACCTTTTACCTAAGATAAGAAACTTAACAAAAATAAGCAATATGAAAAATATAAAAATCATTTATCAAAGCTTTTACATTTACCCCCAACAATGGAATGGTATCATACAAAAGATAACCAACAATTTTTAACTGTTACAGGTTTGCCATGGCTTCCTTTTAATATAAAAGGCATATCAGATCTTGTCATATTAAATTCTAATTATTCAAAGGTCAAAAGTCAAGAATCTAAAGATGCTTGAATATTATTTGAATTGAAAAAGGATGGAACTAAGGTTGCTTACCGAAACTAGGGAGTTTCGGCATGCCAAAACTGCCAAAACTGCCAAAACTAGGTTTCGGCAAGCAACTGAAAATGCCGA